ACACCCACTTCCAAGCAAGACCTATAGGTTCCTAATGGGACAAAAGGCAGGGAAACACTAATATCATGGGCGTATACCCTTCTCCCCAGCAGTACTTATCACTGCAGGAAGCAAACACGCAAAGCCCCGTCACACACAGTTTCAGTGCAGCCATCAGAGCTGGGCACAGGGTGAGTGCCAGCACAGTGAGGAAGGTGTCAGCTCCACAGGGATGAACCTGTTTTCTTACACCTTTCTCTGGGCTCCATGGCTTTCCTGAGCCAGTGCAGCTGCAGATGCTGTGCTCATCCTCACCGAGCTGTGATCGTGCTGATTTATGCCGGGAGCATCTCTCATCCAGCCGCCTGCTTCAAGGCACTGGTGCAGCACACATCTGTTCCCGCAGCTCCCGACCCTGCTGCGCTGGGCTGTGACAAACTGGCCTGTGGAGGCAGAGAGAGGAAAGCGGGGATGATCTTTATTCCAGGTTGGGCTGTGAGAGACAGAACAGGGGAGCAGGAGCAGGGGCTGGGGCAGTGTGTGGAGCACAGCCTAACCCCAGCCCCGGCAGGGCCCTTTGGTGAGGGTGGGCAGAGCAAGCAGTGGTGTAGGAAAGCAGCCGTGCAGCAGTGGTGATAGACTTCCTGCTGAGTGTTTTGTTTCATTACAAATACCTGCTTCAGTTGCAGGGCAGTTGGATTTGAGGAATATTCTCTTTCAGTATTACAGAAAAGTGCAACACTTTCAACTGCTCTCTATAGAGCAAACTCTACTGCATTAGTGTGTCCTTTTCTTTCTTTTTTATGACTACTGAGACAGTTGATGATTTAGTCCTTTTTACCTCTGAAGCCAGAGCTGTTGTCACTGTTATCAACCTGTAACTCTATGCTGACATCCACAATCAAAGTGGGTTTTATTAAACATATCCTTTTGGTAAGTTTGGTTTTAGTCTAAGTTGACATCATGTTTTCTAGTAAAGAGTTCAGGCTTTAGGTTTAAGAGGCCTCTGACAACACCCCTGTGTTAGTATTGGGCAGCAAAAAAGAGAAGTGGAACATGTTCGCAAGTGTGGGACTTGATCTTCCTCTTCAGCCACTGAGAACTGGAGAGGATTCAGAGAGGGGAATATTAAAAGGTTGAAAAAGTCCTTAGAGCAAGAGAGAGAGTCAAGGAGCGCAATCCATGCCATGTATCAAAGGGAGCTTATGTGGTGCTTTGATCATAACCCCAAAGTACTTAGGCGGTGAACATAAATTTGAAGAGACTCTTTAATCCATAGGCAGAGACGTGACCGTCAGGCTACGGAGCTGTAGCTGTGTAAGTGTAGAACCAGAAACGAGCTTCTTGCAGTGAGGGACCAGGTCACCCAGGATCCCAGCAGGTTTATGCTGGTTTTTTAGATGCTTTTCTGGAAGTGCTGTTCTGGTTTGGGTGCTGCTGCTGGGCTGGATGTGGGAACGCGGAAGGTCTGTGCCTAAGCTTGAATAAGATGACTGTCTTTTGGTCTCAAAACATAATCTGGCAGTCCCTGGGTAAGGCCCTCTGTAGAAAAAAAAGGTTAAAAATAATGTTCTCAGCTCTGTTCAGCTCTAATTCCTTTTAACATGAACTATGTTCTAAGGCAAGCTAAGGGCTGGTTTTAATCTGACACAGGTGCACAGACTGCAGTCACGCTGTGTCTCATTTCACTGATGTTAACTGAGAATACGTTTCAAACTGTACATTGCTTGTTGCCCATGAAGTGGCCTGACAGAGTTTGCTGAAGTGGGCTTCCCACAGCGTCCACTGAGTGCTAAATCCTTCAGAGCCACATTCTAACTTCAGCCACACCAGAGCACACCCGAATGGCGTCACCTGCAGCGTTCGCTTTGATCTTCAGCATCGCTCTGTTTGAGCAGCTTGGACTTTCCCATTACTCACCTCTCAGTATTCCCACAATATAGGAGCAGTCGCCTCCTGTGCAAGCGTGGCCACTGCATGCTAAACTCTCATCTCACAAGCACTAGTCTAGAGTCCTGTGGCCTAATGCCTCATTTTGGAAGACACCAAACCCACCCCCCAAATCCTTTATTTTGAAGGTATCCACTCCAGCCTGGCCACAGGAATTGCTATACACATTGCAATTCTCTGTTAAATGTCTCATCTTTCAGAATATTCCATTAACCTTTGTTCTGTTGGTGGCTTCAACTTGGCAGTGGGGATGGGAACTCGGCCTGCCATCTTCTGCTTTAAATCCAAGTCAAGCAGTGGCGATGAAATCATGTGGTTTGAATAATTCTGTGTGTTTTCTCACTAGAATACTGAGCTAGAGCCTTAACCTCCCCAGCAGTTCATGGCAGTTACAGCTGAGTTATTTGATTAAAATACTATTTTTACCAGCTACTTGAAAGTGCTGCTGCAATCTGATTTATTCTCATTGTTAGTGCTTGTTTGTTTAGTCTTTCAGCTGAAATCAACTTACCATTCATTGAGTACTAATGCCAAGGGAAACCATTGTCTTCAAAAATAATGGAGCATAATGTGCAGGAAAACATGGGTATTTTGCTCACGCAGTTGCATATATATACACAACGGTGGTTTGGGGGTTTAGGGTATTAATCTGCTTCCCCTGTGAATGGGTACCGGCAGCTTTTGTATCAGCCCACAGCTATCCCCTGTTCCACAGAGGAAGTTGGGGTATCCATGGCCAGAGATGGCGTCTTTTGCTCTGAGGTTATGTGCTGACAGTTGTCACAAGTACATGACAATGCACTTGTCATAGCTGTTTTTTTTCCTGCAAAATCTGGGTTTCTTTGTATTTTCTGTTGGCCTGAAAAATACAGGGAACCTAGAGAGATAGAACAGTTAAAATCCCCAGTTTTAAAGTGGTAGAGAGAGTTGAGTGCCCAGTTTATGACACAAAGGTCTGACTTCTGAGGTGTACTGCGCAGCCAATATTCTTAATAGAATCAGTGGGAGATGGGAATGCCCCGAGGCCCTGGTACCTCGGAGCAAAGACACACACAAAAGCTGCTTTTAGTGTCTATTTGATATTCTGCATTCCCCACATCTGAACTCAAGGTCTAAGCCATTAGTGTCCTTCTAAAAAGTCTTTGCAAGGCTTACTCTCTCTAATAACATGTTTTGGGTGGTTTTACATTTCTTAATAAGATCCTGCCGATTGATGTGTTGTTGAAAATGTAGTTTTCACTGCTTAGGTGGATGGATGCTCAGTTACACATAAAGCTTGATGCAACTGAATTTTAACACTGCCACAACAGAATTTGACTTTTCCTCTTAAAAGTAAGAGCTCACTTATTTCGCACTACTAGGCAGAGAGGTTCTAACCCTGGAATGTTGTAGGGAGAACTGACAATATACAAAGGGGGAAAGCAGGGAAAGCATCACCAGTGTGTCCTCAATTATTGCATTTGTATTAAGGGGCTCTTCTGTTTTTTCTCCCAACAGATGAAGCAAGAAGGTTTTATTTAAAATGATTTAATCTTGCTCAGTCTTTAATGGCTCACAGTTCAAGCCCAGAGGGATAATATGACTTATTTTCTCTGATCTTCCAAAGCAGACATGCTACAGAAGTCTCTCCTTCCAGTACAGCCACATTCCCAAGCCTTCCCCTGAAGGCGGTGTGGCAGCAACTTGACTTTAGTATCTCCCCAGCACACGAGGCGTACCTGGTTCTCGTGTTCCAGGCAAACACCTACTTCAGCTGTAAACTCTTCTGACATTTCTGACAGAGGTAATTTTAGTGCTCTGGGGGACTTTTGGCCTTACCAAAAATAGATGGGAACAGGGAAACCTGAATTTACAGGCAAAACTGCAAAGATGCTGGGGAGAACAGCATCTATATTGTGTGACAGCTTCTGAAAGAGCATCACAAAAGTACCTGCTACATCCAAAGGCTTTCTGGGCTTTTTTTGCTTCCTGTGATTAAGTTTCTGTCTTTCTGGAAATCCTTCAGTACCAAGACACATGATTGGAAGTCCTTGTATGCATGTTATTTGCGTGACATTTGTGGTGGCGCTGGAACACGTTTTACATCAGTGCGACACCTTAGGAAGGTGTAGACCTGTTCTGACTCTTACACACCTGCAGTGCACAAAGCTAACAGTGGATGCAGGTTTCTGTGGGATTTGAGATCAAGCCATTGTGGTGTCTTTGCTTAAAGCAGGAACCAAGTTTGCTGTGATTCAGGAACCAGCCTTTCCTTCAATTAAAGGAAAGTTACCTGTTTACTTTTAGAAAATAATTACATTTCCTTCCCCAAATGTTATAGCAGAACTGATACATTTATTAGTAGTTTTAGATGTATTTAAATACAGAAAAATTAGTGTCAAAAACCCAAAATACTGCTGAGGGCAAAACAGCAAATTGGGCAGTGAATACATCCTGGGGAACACTTGTTCTGCTTGTTGTCTATAGCTGTGTGCACTGGACGGATGCTCTTCCAGGTAGATCTGTCATCAGAACAGCTGTTCCCCTGTGTTACACCCTACCCAGGTGTAACAGGGTGATCAAGGGAAGCTCAGAGATGTTTGTAGCCAGTTTCACTGCTGTCCTAATGGATAGCATGTCCCATCTGCCAGCAACCTTGCCCACACCACATGTGCGGGATGCTGCTGTCACCTGCAGAGTTCACACATCTTCAAGAGCTTCCTCCCTTCCATGGTATCTGTTTCTTGTGGCTCTTTCAGGTGTTTTTCTAAAAAGATGCTGTCCTCCAGTGCCAACCCCTTGTCAGAAAGTTGACACCTGAATTTGGGGTGGATTTAACCTTACTGAGCTGGGGGTGTTAAAAAGGTCTCACCCAATGGAGACACATATCTGCTCTAGGCGAATCACCCTCACCTAAGGCTATGTTGATGAACTATAGTTTTGATGAGGCCTGGACTCTCCACTGACCATAAAGGAAATGTGGAAGAATAGTTTTCTATATTTATGAGATCCTCATATGAAGGGGAGATTAATCTTGCTAACCATAAAGTAGCTTAGAGGAAATCAGTTCCTGACTATTTATCTTCATGCAGAAATTCCCCTGCTGAGTAATCATTTCTTTTCCATGGATCCAAGATTACCTCCGCTCATTTCTTTGTAGGCAGGGTAAGCATTTGTCTCTCTTCCTTCAGCTGAGCTGCTGTGTGTGTCCATCACTGGCACATCAGGCATCAGGAGACCCCAGGACACACTTCTGTTTCTGCTGTGCTGACTTTCCCATTTCACTCACGGTTTTCCCTGTATGTCCACAGGCACATCTACAGCTCCCTTGTCTCAGCAGGGCACAGTGCCCTGTGTGTTGGGCTGCTGCTGCAAAGGGTATCCCACATTCGAGCTGAGTCGGGTGACTCCATCCTGCTATAGAGCTGCCTCCTGGCAAAATCAGAGCTCAGCAGGCTGTAGGATGAAAGGACAGAGGTGGCTTCAGCGTAGAACACTGTTACTTAACAGTGATGGCTCGAAGACTTCTCCTTAAACACATCCTGATGTCTTATTCAACGAAATAACAGGCAGGGACGAATGTTTTAAGAGTGGAGGGGATAGAAGAATGATCTCATTAAGCTACAGAAAAGTAACTAAAAAGGATGGAAGCTGCACTAGGTAACTAGATGCACAATACTCTGGGGACACCTCAGAGCATTTCCCAAGGCTACAAGAAGAAGAGATGTAATCAGTAAGAAACAGTAAATACAAAACTGAAGATGAGCTACAGGCTTTGTGAAAGATACTAAACCTGTTCACAGCAGAATCATTACTAGGGTCATACTGAGATCAAAAAGAGAGTGAAATGGTATTAAAAGACGATGAATATTCAGAACATGTAATACTAATGTTCCCCTATTCCAGAAAATGGTTATTAAATTTCCCGTTGCCTTACTTTGCTCTACTTCCATACAGAAAAAGATGCTGTTGCTTTTGCCTGGCTTGCAGTGCAGCTCGTAAATAGCCATATTGTCACTAATCCCTGGCCAAGACAAACTTATTTTAAACCACATTATGAAGCGTGAGACAGCCTTTAATGCCTTTATTCATGTCAGATAGCACCTTGTAACCTAACAGCTGCTGATGCTGTTTGAGGAGTGAGAGGTAGTGCCACATCAGTGTCACAGTTTGAATTCAGTGGTTGATTTCTACATAGGGACTGAAGTGCTAATATTTTATACCAATATTTGAAAACATTACTACTTTGTTAGAGTGTGTTACCTTTACAGCCTTACCTTGCTCTTCAAATAACTGGTGTCATTGCTGGATTATAATGGGTATGTAAACAGGGGCTGTAGAGCCAATCGTTCCTACCAATGGTATTGGCAGACCAGAACAGCCTTGTGCCTAAAAGCCATAGAGAGAGCCTGCAGCCTCCTCCCTCCTCTAAACACAGAGTACTAGTGCTGACAAGTGTGGGTAAGCATAGGGATTAACCTGGGCGTGCATCGTAGTGCGTGCTGCAAGGAGCAAACACTTGTACACGTTAAGCAGGAAATCATACATTGCAGATGTGGCTTCAGGTGACTGCATACTTAAATGTGTCTTCTAAAGAAAAAATGTGGAAAGAACCTAGGTGGCTGTAAGGGCTGGCAAAGGCCACGCTCCAAGCATATAAGCTTTTGATATATTACTCCAGTTAAATTAAAGATTCCCTAACTCATTTCACTTCATTAAAGCCACTAAAATAACAGTGCAGCGTCTCAACGGCAGGGATTAATTTTTGAAGCAGCACAGGGGCATTTTGTTTCAGTGCCTGATGTAACTTGATTGAATCAGACAAATGAAATAAGTGACCTCTATCTAGCAAGGTTATAGTTGTAGCTAGACTTAAAGGAGATTTGTGCTGAAGTACACAAGAATGGAAATTGCAATGTGAGAAGAATGCTAAACTGTCATGGAAGAGGTGATGCGACTTGCCCCTGGAGTAGGAAGGGTTAAAGGGTGCTGTGGGGGTGTTTCAGGACGGGGTCCACATCGATGATTTCTCAGTAAGTAGATGTTTTTTGTTGTTGGTAACGAAATGTATTGTTTAAACAAAATGGTTTAAATTAGCTTATTGGTAATGCTCTAGGGGAAATGAATTTCTAGAATCGTATTTCAGGCACTAGACAAAACAAATGCTGCCCTACATTGTTGGAAAGGATGAGAAGTTTCAAGTACCCTCAATATTTAATACCTGGAATTAGATATCATAGGAATGACATGGAATAGTTACTTGATGAAAATACAGTTCATTTAAAGAGGATTAAAGTGCACATAAAAGTTACCCACCCCTTTAGAGAATGTAATTGGTTTTTGTATCTTATAATTTGCTCTTCTATTGGTGGCCTTTGTTTTAATAATACACCCTTTACGCTAAAATTCTAAATGTAATTAAGAGTTTGGGAGATCAACGCTTTCCTTTGACTATGTCAGGCAGAATTAAAGCTACCTGTGGCCTCCAAGAACACTGGGGCATGTGCAGGGCTGCAGATACCTGCTCTTATATGGGGTTTAAGTTTCAAACATTAAAGCAACTCGACTTGGACCAACCAGAGAGTGGAGGTGGAAGTGAAGTAAATCGTGGAGTGATGAAATCACTTTAGACAACTTAATGAAAAAAAGAAAACAGCTCGGATCCCACTGAGCCACCAAATGATTGATTTCCACATGGAAGCACCCATCTCCGAGAAGCCTTTGACAAAACTTTCCCTTTATTTCCATGTGGAATGGTTGTTGACCAAAGGATTAAAAAGACCGAGGGAAGAAAGGGACAGAATGGGTTATGAGCCCAATAGACAGGAGAAAATACATTGAAAACAGCAGACTGAGCTACTTGTGTATTCATTAAACATAAAGGTATCATTTGTAGATGTTTGGATTTCTTAATACTCAGGAAGAGTTGATGGTAAATGATTTTCAGAAGGAGCACAAGTACTTTCAAATCTTCCAATATATTATTTAACATTTTCTTTTGACAGTTGTTTTAAGTCCTGCTATGTCAAGAAAGTTAATAGCAAAACATGAAAACCAGTTTGCCTGAGATCACCAAACAACTGCCTTTGCTGATCTGGAGCACTGAGGTTCTGTTAAAATGAAATCACAGTGGTCAGATTGCAGGTGGCATCCCAGAAGGACGAATTAAGCTGTTGACTGAGCTGAGCTACCAAACTGACCACGGCTGAACAGGGAGGAGTCCTGCAGTCCTTGGCACCCCCAGTAACTGTGGTAAGTCAACGCTCGTTGTGCTCACAGATGAATTTAAAATTTGATGCTTAAAATGCCACGTCACCTGAATTATTTTCGGAGCTCGGACTGCTCTGATATAGGCTTTTCTAGAACACTAAAATAGTAATATCTTCACAGCCACGGTCATACTCGGGTTCCTTCCTCTGGTGCTTTTTGCTTCCCACCGAGGCCCTCTGTAATGAGTAAGAGCAGTTGCCTGTTAGTGCAGAAGCCAAGGAAGGGAGAACAGCAGAGCCGAGGCTGTGGAGCTGGTAGCTGGTAAATCCTTGCTGGTTTAAGCCAACAGCAACTTTTTGCCTGGGAGCAGGCTGAAATGGGAAGACTTAACACAGTATCAGTGTAACTAGCACACATGCTGGTTATGGCTGCATTGGGAATGTAGAAACAACCTCCAAAACCTGGACTGTATCTGCTTTAGGGCTAATTAAAATGAAATCCCCCTTCAGGAAGCTATCGTTCCACACTCCCCAGGCTCTAGCTGGGTTTTGCCATACACTACCAAATTGTCTCCACTTCTGAAGTACTTGTGCCAAGAAAGGGAACAGCATAGTAGTACCCATTGTACAGGTCCACTGCTTTCATTTAGTTCCTGCGAATTCAGTGGCAGAATTAATTGCGAAATAAAATCCATGTAATTGGATTAATTAACCTTACATTTTTAAGGTCCTGAAATACAGAATTAGCCATGGGGTAAATGCACAATGCCGGTTTTTCCTGTAAACAGACCAAGTGCTATTTTTGGATCTGTAGCTCATCAAGCTGTGCCTTGCTTAAAAAGCTGCCAGGGTAAGAAACGGGGCTTTGAAGGGGGGAGGATAAATACCATAATTAGGGCTGCAGGACAATGAAAGGATTATTCTTACATATAAAAGTATTTGAGTGAAGTTGCTTGAAAGATATATCTAAAATTGCTTGTATGGGTCTAATACTTTCTTTACAAGGACTTGCAAATCTCATTGAATATTTATGGACCTGGAACATAAGAGTGGATGAAATTTAAAACATAAATTCAATAGCAATTTATTGCAATGAAATTCCCTAGCAGTTGTTGCCCCAACCTCTTAGCCTTAATAGACAGGCTTCACGTTGCAGAACACAAGCCCAGTGATAAATGATATCAAAGCTGAATGCCCTTGATTGATGAACGCTGCCTCATTTGATGACTATAAAACAGTCCTGAGGGCTGAGCTCACCACTATTTTGGTTGTTTTGTATTTTTTTCCCCCTTAATGCATATATTGCAGAAGGGTTGTTTGTGCTTCTGTGATGGTTATCACATGCAAATGAGCATGCTGTTTCCCAGATGCAGATTTTGTATTTATAGATTAAATACAGCCTGAAAAATCATATGTTAATTACATTCTGAGGGTGTAGCAGAATTTCTCACTTGAACATGTTTTGTTTTGCTAGAAATAGCACAGATTCCAGATCAATGTATTGAATTGCTTGATGGCTGGTTATAAATGTATCATGCTTTAGAAAAAGCTTTCTGATCATTACTGTGACTAATAATTTACCGCTATTTCAATGCTTAGACTTCTGTCACACATTATGTATTTGATTTGGGTTTTTTTAACAATTTGTAGTTCTCAGAAGACATCCAATACTTGATTGTCTTCTGGGTGGAAGGATCAAAGCCAATATCAGAGATACAGTGGCAGAGATCTTCTGAGAGGAGGTGTTTTGAGAGGAACAGGACTCCTGGTCAGCTCAGTTGGCTCTAAATAGGGTTTGTTGTTTTTTTTTTTAATTGCCTGTTACAGTTCTACACCACATACATCATGCTGAAAATCCATACTATTGAGGTTCCTTCTTCAGTATATAGTGGCCAACTGAGACACTGCCTCAATACACAGTGGTATGTGTCTTGACACAAGAGGCCTCAATAGTCACTGGTAATGGAGATGTCCAAAGAAACATAGTGCCTCCTGAGACAGCAGGGAAAACCCAACAGGCTGATTCAGCTGCAGGCTTAGCAGTTGTTCAATGGTAGATGTTGGCTGCTGGCTTTTAACCTGAGAACTAGTGCACAGGTTCTTACATCCCAGCATGCCAAAGGATACACCAGAAATGTTTAGGAAAATTGTGTTCAAAAGGGAATGTAGCAATGCTTGGACTTCAAGCCAGGCCAGATTGGCCCTTGAGGGACTGTGTTATTGAAGGCAATGCTGAGCATAAGCCTGTTACAGTAAAAGGTGGGGGAGATTTTGGAGAAGTCAATATACAGCATTCAAATTGCTTATTTTTTTTTTTTTTACTGTCCCAACAGTTGCAAAACATCAAAAATAAAGAGGAAAGCTTCAGATATACAGTGGACTTCATTATTGCAAAGAAAAGTCTGATAAAACAGCCATTACATCAACAGGAAACATCTCACTGGTTTTCATTGGCAGGATCAAGCCTATACAAAGCAAATAGTTTCCTAATAACAAGTAGTTAAAAATATGACCTTTGCTGTTTGTTTTCTGCAAATGTAAATCCTTTGACCAGTTACAGATTCAAAGATCTGTCCAGAAGCACCAAGCTGGAAGGTATGATTAGTATGGACTTCAAACCCAGGTAAGTCTCACTTTAGTACAGCCTGCTACAGTATATTGCAATATATCCTGAAAGCCACAGATGAGAACAAACAGTACCAAAATACTTAGTAAATTGAAAATACACCCACCCCCTATTCCCTTTTCACAGCTCTCATAAGTCTTTTAGTAAATAAATAAATCACAGAGGTACCAACAAAACTGGCAAACTAAGAGGTAGTTCATGTAACAAAGCATCTCTGTCTGCGAGCACGTCTTGCTGCTGTAGGCAGTGCTGTGCAGTTCAGGAATCTGAAGCCATGTATGGCTGCAGGTGCTGTGCCAGCCTTCCTGTTCTGGTCCCAAGAAAAAAAGCAGGCACAGGATAGTTTGGTCACATCAGCTAACCTGAGAGCAGTTCAGGTACCCAGAGGGCAGTACAAAACATGCCCTATACTCCTCACTCTTCTCAAGCAGCAACACTCTTGTTTGCTTTTTGGCAATTATGCAGTCATTATATAACTGTAGGTCATTATTCAGTCAATAGAAATGTTGATCTTCCAGTCTTAAGAAAGCTTCCATCCTGATAATTTTATACTCTGCTTATATAACTAATCCTGGCTTTCTGAACATGTATGTGCATGTCAAATGTACCTAAATACATTCAGATTGGTATAACTGCAGTTTGGTTAGGATGCAGTATGATTAGAACAGTCATGTGGGCTCTATGTAGTGGTGTGCTCCACTGCATACAAGAAATCCTCCCTTTGAGGCCTTACAACAATAAAAACTGCCTTCAAAGAGTGTATTTCTCCTATGTGATCTTACAAAATGATACTGGTCTGTGATGAACTGGTACACTAGAGACAGTGTGCTGAATTAGATAAAATCTGAGTTTGAATAGCAGACAACTCCTGTGATGTTGGTATGTTTGAACAGAATATTAATGCATGTCTTAATATCTCTTCAAAAAAGAAACCAAGAGAAACCCAAATCTAATTGTACATCCTCCATTACAGTGCTTTACATAGACTGGTGGGTATCAGTTGTGGTCTTGCAATTCACTGGAGTCTTAGGACAAGGTTCTCATAGGCTTTTCTTTCACTTTCCCATGAATGATGTTTCTTCATGTAGTCTTTGGCTTTTGTTACAATTTCTTTTTCCATAATGGGGTCATTCATCAAACTCTTGGACAGCACAACAAACTCCTAAAAAAGATAAAGAAAGTTCTAATGATACTGAACTAGCTTGTACCCGTATCAGCTGTGATTTCAGTAAAGCTCTTCAACTCTGAGCCAATACATGAAGTCATTCAAATGAATTTTTCAAGGTCAAGTATCATAGTTTATTTATAAACAGTGATCAATAAATAATTATTCTGTATATCATTTTACACAGCCCGCCAACTAAGACATTTAAAATCACAGACAATCCCATGAGCATTAAGACAAATAAGAGCAACAAATTTAATGACTCAAAAATTGTTTGCCTGCCCAAGTGTTAGAAAACCAGGCTGATTATAAATTAAATAATTCATCTGGTCGCCTGCATGGAGGACAACTGGCAACAGGCTTTTGATCTCAGCTCAGCTAAACTTGTATCTCACTGCTACTGTGACATCTTTAGCTAGTTTTATGGCAAGACTAAAAACCAACATAAACAGTTACAGTATGAAGATAAGCACAGGCAGGCAGCAACAGGCTCTTCTGGAGCAGATGCATCTGGGCACTTACAGACACAGCAGTGTTAGCAAAACAAGCTCTGCAATAAAATATATTAATTTCCTTTAACTGTACTGGCCAAAATACAGCTCTTCCTTTGCCTGCTCCTCTGCCACTCTAATTTATTTAGTTCTAAGGAAGAGAAACTGTGAACTTCCAACATGTGAAAGGAGATCTGATGTCTGAACTAATCTGTTCGGAGCAGCTGGTCTAATTTTCTATCAGGAGACAACTTCCAATACTTTAGCTCAATTATAAATGTGCTCAGATCTTTGCAAAATTGTGTCTTGGTTCAGCTCAGAAAAGCAGACTGCTATTGTGTCAATGGAAAATTAAGATACTGCACTACTACACAATTGGTAGTGAAGATCAGTGCATAGGGATGCGGGGGACAAAAAGGATGGGAGACAGAGATACGTTATTTACACAGTCTATCGGCTGTGAAAGGCATTATCACAAACAAGACCAGAATTCTTATGAACACTAGGCTGACTACTAAGCTATACTTGAAAATCTAAGTACACAGTGTATATAAATACATACATGGATAGAAAATCTTTGGTTACCACGGAATCAATTTCCCTGTTGTAATGCAAGTGATGGGTATGCATAATACATGGCTATAAAGTGACCCCTGGGAAATGCTGGTATGTTAAATCACATTAAACATATTATAATCACTGCTTTGGCTCTCACTGACAAGATAAACTATCAATATATGCATCACTGGCATCAAATTTGAATAGTCAGAAAGGTTTGTAACTAGGTAATAGAAAGATTTTCATACATGTGTATTAACAACCCCTTATTTTACAGTACTGTAGTTTTTGCTCTGTCCACACAGCACTGACAAATCAGCCTTTGGACTAGCCAGGAGGACCACATGCTTCACCTCCAGCCCCTTTTCCATCCACAGCTACCTTGGTGTTCAGGTATGTGCTCATTTTATCAGTATATCAGTTTTTCCCTTGGAACTCACATGGCCCAAAGAGGGAGTTACCTGGTTTCCTGTGATTCTCACCCTAAAAATACTAAGTAAGGTTGGTCCAGGAAGTACCCTGAGGCTGCTTCTCTCAGACAGTGCAGATACAGCCACTGACTCCAGCTTTAGAGCCACGTTCTTTTCCTCCTTTCCTTCCTCAATATCTGCCAAGAATACAGAGCAGGCAAGGTGGGAAAGACTTACATGACTTATGGTGGCTTCATCCAGTTGCCTATATAATCACAGTAATAAATACTGTTCACACTGAACTACATTCCAACTTTAATTTTATGTTCCTGTGGAGGATTTTATGTAATGTTTAAAAATAATTTATGTAAATTACCTAAGAACAGAAGCAGCAATGTAACATTTCTTGACAGGTACTCCTATTAGCATTCTTTTAAAATGTGGATATAGAGGACAAAAACTTGGAAACATGTAAATGATAGAAGAAATTAGATCCTTATTCACAGTTACAATATTTAGTGCTGGAGATAATTTCAGGAAAATGCCAAACTGACTCCAAAGCATAAAGTTGAGAAACTGCAGGAGGGAGAAAAAGCAAATGGAAAAATACCAGGAAGCAGAGAATAAGGACTTCTTAGTTTTATCTTTACTTCTACTAATCAAATATGACCACCTACAAGTCACCTGCAATCTGACTGGAAGCCAATGGGAAGATTCACTATGACTTATCTGGGTTTTGCCTCATACCCTTTGAACAGCTGGCTTAGCTTGTCTTGGATGCTCAGCTTTAGAAAGCAATAACTTCATTTTTCAGGTGTCTCACTTAACTAAACTGACTTGCATTTCAGTCACAGTTTTGTGGTAAGCCTGAAGCTCCCACATGCACAATGCAGACATTCAGAACTCGGAGCTTTTTCAGAAAATTGAACATCCAATTTTTCTGTTCTAGAAGCTGATGATACACAAGCTATTTACAGTGTGGTAACATGGCTCTGTCAGCTGTTCCGTTGAATTTGTGCAAGTGATACTGCACACGGTTTTGTGCATTCTCATATTTTGTTGCAGATGTGAAGTAACCTTCACTCCTGCTGAAGGAGGGGAAAAAGTCATCAATGACTTTCCAATTAGCAAACATAAGGGTATGCACTTCAGCAGCCAGAATGAAGGAGGTGATGCGCAGGCTAACTTACTATTGGGGGACATCCATATTTGTAGTAAGCCTTTTATTCACATACAGAAATCAGTATTATTACATGTGACAGAAAAACACTGTAAAAGCTGAACCTCAGTAGTTAGCCACTACCCAGAACAAACAGGAGAGAAGATAATCTCGTGTACCTCCAGAACAGATACTTCACGTGCCCTTTCTATGGATAGTACTTCAGACACAAGCATTTTTCAACAGCAGCATCCCTAATACTTTTTTTTCCCCGGTAAACTGACCGACCATCTTTAAAGAAAACGTCAGCTTCTCTATATAGTACCTAAAAGAAATTCTGTATAATAGTTTGCAGAGACACAGATACGCAGGTATCTGGGAAATAAAGCTAGAAAGTGAGTGCACTGAGTAGAATGACTTATTCCTTCAACTACCATGAGAACTACATCGGAACTGCAGCTCACACATAATGAAAATAAGATGCATGGTTAATATATTATTTATGTAATGAAAGTAACTGTGCAATTAAACCATTTCATATCAGCTTCAGCAGATAAAGGAACATGATTCTTAAACAACAGAGAATCACCCAAGGGAAGGCGAGTGCCAGATGTAAATTCAGAATAGCGAGAGATCAACCCAGTGGCGGGCACAGCTCAGAAGTCAGCTGGCCCATCTGTGTACTTCACAGGGCAACGGGCCAATATTTCTAGGGGAGTATAAACAGTGACTGCTGGCAGTGCCAGAAACTGCAAATTAGTCTGGTCAGTGTGAAGGTTGAAAGCTCTGAAAACTTGGGCAATATTCCGGCTTGAAGCCCTGCTGGCAGTGGCGCTGACCCACGTCTGGCAGAGGAGAGTAATGTATGTTCAGTGTATTCGTGCCTGTTCTCAGCTGAGCTGTGTTTCCCTCTCACCACTTCAAAAGTTGTCTCTGCTAACACAAGTCTTTCCAGGACCCACTCTCTCTCAAACTTGGTTGGTGCTTGGCCTCTCTTACTGGCTTTGAAGTTTATTTACCTCCTCCTGTTTATTTAGCTCCTTCTGTGAGCTTTTACAGATGCTGAACATGTAATTTTGAAACTCAGAATGCTGAATAACTGTCTTCCCTTTCAGCGTGGTTTTGCATTATTTATTGCCCTATTCTTATCTATTACTTATTTTTTTATTTCAGGTCCTATTAAGTCAGTGTGAAATATTCCATAAACTTGCAAATTCAAGTAATGGCAGGATCAAACCATGATTTAAAAGTAGTGAGGTAGTATCAAGGACAAAACGTTTCATAGCTTTCACTTCTCCATTAACTGTTTCTATGCAAGTATTGTCTTCAGTGACTGGCAAGGCTTTCTCTATTTCCAGTCAAGTAGCCTCAGCATAAATGCAAATGGATAACGGTAACTACAGTCATGCACAGAATTTCCTACTTCCCTGTAAGCTGCAAAGGCTCACTTTCAGCAAGAACAAAAGAAGAAAACCATCAGCATTCACAATTTAAAACAATTCTCATTGTATAATGATAATTCTATATCCCTCTTATTTAGCTTTCAAAAGATAAGATAGTCTGCAGACCATACACAACTGCTCGTATCCAAGGTAACTTTATTGTAAAGCTTTCCCTCCCCAGATCAGTAATGACTTGAAAATAAGCAGTGCCTTCTACTCTTGAGCTGTGATACAGTCTGTATCATCACAACCAAACTTGCGTAGCAAGTCTTTGACATTTTCTAATCCTTGGTGGTCTGGATTCTTCAAGGCAGAGAGCCTTTCACAAACACCTGACCACAGCAGTAATCTCCCTATATGATTAAAGGCTTTTTCCCTGACTAACCTGATGCAATTGAGGTTGCGGCACAAAATACCAGATACTTAAGAGGTCAAAATAATCAGAGTAACAGACCCCACAAAACTTCTTACCAGAAGATGTTTTCTGCTCCCTGTTGTCAACTGAATCTTCTAAGGCAGTATCCAAAGTGCCATGGGCAAACTGTTCCTTCTTACAACAATAAAAATATGAAACCTACTTTGAAACTGTGTTTTGACTTAATCACATTTCTTTGATCTAATATAACTCTCAACCCATGATAGACTATGTACAGTGGTTTAAAAATTGTATTTGATATGGTTTGGGGAGATAAGGAACAAGAGTAAATGGTTACTTTAAAACCATGAGCAATGATGATTGGCATTCTGAGCTCATGAAGAAAGTTTTCAACAACTCTGCAGTGGAGTTAAGAGTATTACCCTTGTAACCAAGTACTTTCCTGACCCATTTCCAAACTTTGATAGTTTATACTGTATTTGACAACAATGACAGGACAAAAGGGCTTTTACTAAATGAGATACAATTGATGTTTTACAGAAAAGCAGGAATATTACTTTCTAAGATAGGTTATCTATCTGCACAAACATTAGTGATTCCAATACAAATATTACCTATGAGTATGAATATGGTAATGCAAGTCACCATCTTCATGTCAAAGAGATTCTGTGGACTTCTGAGCTAGAGTAACTGCAAAAGGGGGATCAAAAAGCAGAATAGGGGAGTTTCTGATCTTTGCTATAGCATGTTGCAGAGAAGGGATCTCAGGCAGAAGGGGTTTATATAAACTAAGCTTACAGTGTTCTAGACATATTTACAGCCTGTGACTCCAGTTCTGACATAAAAGGAAGTCCTTCGCCATTTGTACACAGCCACCGATGTCACTGGGCCTACTTCTGTATTTAAATTTGCACTTTCCTCCAAGTAAGGAAATATATAGCGTATTTTTAATTGATCTTGGATTCCAAGGAAACACTCGGAATGTAGGACGCTTGGAGATTGCAAAAGAGGCTTCTTACAAGGATGTATGATGAAGCTAATTGGGTATGGTATGAATAATGTATTTGAATTACAAGCCAAATGTAAGCAGCATATTGAGGGAACCAACAGAACGTATGAGAATTCGTATCAAGGAAGCTATCTATCTGTGTGTTCAACATGATCATATATCCATCAAGTTCTGAAGCAGCATATGGAAGTCAATGGGCTTTTGCAGGGAATACAAAGGATTTTATAAACAGCTTTATATCTCAGCCCCCACTAGCCTGGAAGTATCCCATTTCCAAAGGATATTGCAAGAAGAGAAAAAAAATTCAGATGTTAATGAAGACTTTTTTCTCCATAGAAGCTATTGGAAACATTGCATATCCCATAAAACAAAACAAACAAAAACAAAAAAAAACCAAGCAAACAATAGAATTTTTCTATTAAAAAGCCCCCAAAATTAACCGAGAGAATTTGCCTTCCTGAAGTACAACTTAACAGGAGGCATTAACCACACACACACACACTCCATAAAGTAAATATGATACATTTTCTACTTTACAAATGGACTGTTCTAGTAAGGGCTTTTTTAGTCTTGAGCTGGATAAAAACGCATGTGTAACAGCAAAGCCATAATGCAGGAAAATATACTGAAATGAAAATTTCTAGCGTTTAAACACAGGTAGTGTTCCCTGTCCCCACTCTCGCTTCTCTTCACAGAAGCTCCATTCTAACCCTTTGCTTAATTTTAATCATTAATTATTTTCTGACCAAGCAGTATCTTGAACCTAATAGTGCTTTATATTAACACTTACTGCTAGAAATTAGAGATAACGTATTATCTAAAATTTCAGACTCTTAGTTCTTTTGGTTAGAAACTCCTTGTCAAATATGAGTTTGTATTTCAGTTACTACTTAAGGGGAACTGTGACACAAGTATAGCATCTCTTCCAGAGTTGGAAGGCTTATGGAGCCTTCAAACCTGAAGCGCGCCACTCAGATGGCACGCTGTACAGCAGCACAGGCAAGGCAAACATTCAGCAAGGCTGACACCTAGTCAGAGTTTAGTGAACTGCAAAGTGAATGCAAAGAAAGGCAGTCTAAAACACAGGAGTGTAGGAGAATCTGAGAAAAAGCTGCTGAGAGGAAAAGCCAAGTTTGCAAACACAAACATGGAAAATGAACCTAGGCTTTGGAAGGGAAAGGTCTAAGATCTGTTGTTTTCTTACCTGAGGATTTGAAAATAGCAGTCCTGTTTCCTTATGTTTTATTATTGCTGCATTCCCAGGAATGTTCCTTGCCAGCACTGGAATGTTTAAATCCATTGCCTAGAGGAACGCAGAAAGAGGAAACAACAGTTTATTAGGATTCAGGGATTTTGAGATGTAAATGATGACAACTTTAAAATGAAAGGCAGAAACAACAAACCAGACTTCTTTCTTTCCCATCTCTCCAGATTTTTAGTTGAAAGCTACCACGTCGAAGGTGATCTCCTATACGGAACTTCTCTGAAATATTTTGTTTATCCTTTTATTAGTACTGTAACTTAGAACATATTATCAGTCCAGAACTTTAACAAATAGCTGCTTCATTGTTTGTGCTTTTCCATCTGAAAGTATGCAGTTTGTTTCCCATTGGAAGAAAGCTCCTGACATGTTACAGGCTTGAAGAGGATAAAATTAAAGTTCAGATGAAAGGTTCTCACTGTAACTCCTACCATTATTATGCACAGATGAGAAGATTAGTTCATAGCACAAAAAGCCATTTCTCCCCACCCAAGTATCTGTTCCTTTGTTCCATTAAACCACTTTATTTTTTTCCACAGACTTTCTGTAACATGTGCAGATCTGGACAGAGGTGGGCAGCTCAACGACAGTGAAGGTGACCGTGTAAATCGCTTGGCTCCTTCTCCTCAGCTCTGATTCCTAGGGGTCATACAGGACTGTGGAAGGAGTTTTTCTTTTGACAGCATCTGTGACTATAGGCTGTCTTGGACTTTGGGCATTCAGGGGCTGCACAGAAGTATGCAGTGATCCAGCTTCTGACTGAATTATACCAAGGAGAGGAGAGAAAAGGTTATGCTTTCAGAACACATTACGCTTTCAAAACATATTATCTACAAAGCTATTGCTATGGGACTCCTCACAGACCAAGGAATACATCTGAAGAAGCAGGATTTGAGTCCACAGAAATTATAGGGCAGTTGATGTGTTTATTTATTTATTTGTATGCATATGTATGTGTGCATTTATGCACATGCATAAAAAAAGGAAAAGAAGTGTGGGGTCTTAACACGGTAGCATTTCAGGTTGCCTGCAGAATCAGGAGCAGAGAGGTAGCACAGCTAAGAAACCACTTCCAAGCGCCCTAATGCCTGGCAACTTTAAAATATACAGCTTAGATTTTGCAGTAACTGATGTGCAAACCCTGGCCATTCAGCTCCGTTACTCATGCATATCCTGATCTGAAACTTTAATTACTATTGATGAATTCGGATGTCTTGAGATGCACTGACTGTAAAACCGCAAAAACTCATCTTGTACAATTATCACGGTGTCAAACGAGAAACGAATTCACTCCCCCAAACCTTCAATCTGTTTCATACCGATCCCCTGTCACTTCAAAGTGAATGCATTTTTAATTACTGTCATTACACTCCTGGATGGCTAGCAATTTTCCTTCAGTCTACATAGTAAGAAAACAGAACTGCAAGGAGAACCACAGTATTTTATAGCTCAGACAAAACTGAAGACAAAAAGATCCTGGCTGATATAGAACCAGTTATGTCTAGAACAGTGAGGGACTTCTGAGACATAGCAACAGGACTTAATAGCTTAAAATATCTAAGAGAAATGCTGCTTAAATCACCACTGCAGATGAATATACTCTGGACATGGAAATTCTATAGTCCTTCTGGAACAAACATCTGCTTTGTACTAGTTGGCACTAAAAATAACAACACTTGAAATAACGTCTTCTACTCTTTGTATCAGAAACTACTGGGTCAGCTGGAGGTAATTCAGACAAATAGATTAACTAAGTGAACACAGCCCAGATTAAATAAATGAGAAATGTAAAAACTACAGATTTCTGAATTTAAGTGTCTAGAGTTGTTGAGATGCAGGGTTTTTAAAACTAAAAAGTCTTTTTGTGAGAGGAAATGCAATAATTTTGTCATTTGCTCTGACTTCACTGTTAAACAAATCTGTTTTCCAAAGGTAGATTTGCAAAAACCATATGATGACAGAATGTACTTATCAGTAAAGTTCACAGAACTTTGAAGTTCACCCAGGAAATGAAACAGATCGGTGCCCCACTCCGTCTGACAGGTTTTCAGTCTGCAGATCAAGGACATGGCTTTTGGCTCTAATTACCCAACCACGGCCCTAACACAGGGTTACCTCAGAAGCATCAACATCTTCTAAAAGAGAATGGCTGAGTCAGCTGTTTTTCAGACCTTTCTGTTGACAGGCTTAAATGCCCTTGTGTTCAGTCTGCTGGCTCTTGACCTCATTCATAGACGTTCAGTGACCTGGGAGCGTAGACATTTTTTTGACCGTGCGAACTGAAAATGAAGAGCTTGACAGTGGCAGTGGTCACTGTCACCTGCCTGAGGCCTTCTCCTCACCTCTGGATCGCTCCTTTTACAAAACTGTAAGAGTATTTCAAGTCTGACTACTTCCCAAACAAGCGATTGTCCACTCAAGGGAAAGAGCACCAGGAAGAAGGAAGGAAGGAAAGGAAGAAAACATGAAAACCACAGCACAACCACGTGAGGACTGATGGCTAAAGTGCTACTATCCCCAAGAACAGTTACCGGCAAGACAGAGGGGAGTTTGGATTCAGCATGTCAGTGGATAGTGGACACTGTGCACATAGACAGTGAACATCAAGTATGTGTGTGAATGGCCTGAGGCAGTTCTGTGTTGGACTGTACCTAACAGTGTGGTTGCATAGGCTGGCACAGTATTGCTGTAGTGAAGTTTAGATTGGACTGTAGCACACACTTAAAATAGATCTCTTCAAGATATGTTCATTCACATCTATTTCTGAATGCTAAATAGTTGATGATTCATTGGAGTTGATCACTAAGTTTATATTTAATTTTTTGTAATTTCTGAAATCTAAAGGGAAAGACGTTTGTTCTGTCTCATAGAGTTGGAGGGCGGTAACTGCTTCATAAGGAAGCTTTCAGGTCCCAAAACACATAGGTACCAATGAATTATAGCTTCTGAAAGACAGAACAGATGGCCAAATACATGAGATGAGGGGCTGCCTTTATACCAGCGAGCTTTAAACAAATGGATTGGGCTGTAAATAATTACTGCATGAAGTGGCTTAGAATTTAATTTAGATAGTCTATTTTTAAGCAATAAAAAAAATAATTTACATTGTTGAAAATATGTATAATTTACTGACCTAGGTTCCACAAATAATAGCATAAAATAACAATTTAGTCCATTGGCCATCTGTTTTGTTACATTATTCTGACTGCAAATGTGTTTTAATGCTGTTTCAGAAGGACGCAGGATGTAAATTTCAGCTTTGGAAGCATGTTTATCCAATAAGCATTTCTAAACAGCAGTATAAAGCTTATAGAGTAAATACAGGTTTTATTTACTATTTTGTCTGGACTGTCCCTCATTCCCTTCCTCCTAGCCTACACATCTTTTTGTTGGCCCCTCTTCAATTTTACTGCTCTATAAAATCCCGTCATTTCTCTTTATTTTTATAGTGTGCTACGGCTTATATTCCAAACTACTAGGCCTGAACTTCACATGATGTCTAAGACTGGATTTTGCCCTACAGCAGAATAAAGTCTGGCCATCTTCCTTTTCTATGATTATTTTCTCTAATTGGCCTTTCTTTTTTTCCTTTGTAAAAGCCTAACAATCTAATAATTTTTATAACAGTTGGAATAGTCTTTAGAGCACAGGAGAAGTACTCCAATGAAACGGTGCTGGAATCTAAATCTTGTTCTTACCAGCTAGATAGAGAACATACAAGCTTTTCCAGTAGTGATGCCTTTTTCACCATCACATGCCCAGGAACATGCAGAACTCCTGAGCTTTCTGAGGAAGAGATACATTTTAAATACTTGCTATAATGTTTGTTTTCTCTTCTTCAAATGCCAAACAGAAAACAGATCAGTTACGGCAAAATCTCAGTACTAGATGACAAAGTAATTAGTTATGGCTTCTAGTGATTTCATACCTTAAGGCAGGTTGAAATACATACGATTATGTATTTATCTCTTTTATCTATTATATATTTATCTCATACTAAAATACTGTTGTTTACAGATTCATGACCTTGTTAAATTTTGAACTTTCAGGAGAATTAAAGTTGCATTTCCAAATTCAAGCAAGATGTTATTTCCAGCCTAGGACCAGAAGTCGTCTTATACACAGTTTTCTGCCTTATTAATTTAACAAGAACTTAACAGATGGCTCTCCCTAGTGCTGGCCAACTCAAGCAGGGACTTAGACTGACACTTCCTTGGAGAGACGGATTTTTACAGTAGGGTATTTTATAAGCATGTCATCAAATCCCACTGTACAACTGTCTAGTAAACAGACATACAATACCAAAACCCTTGTAACTTCAGAAGAAATCAGACAGGTCTGAGGTACTAAAAAACACAAGCTTTAGGTAGTCTCTCAAGTAGTAACTGAAGACCTGATTTTGCTTTAGAATATCCTGACTCAGCTGGGACTGAAGCTGTTGGCTCACAACACCTATGCCATGTCTGCTGAACTGCCCTTACTATAATGCAAGATTTCAGTTTGCACCTGCAATTGGTAACTCATTTGCTTGTAGCCCATGTGCACCTGAACTAACATGCTCACGCTTCTGAAAGCATACCAGCTGTTTTATCCCCATTACACAACTTCCATGATAAATTCCAAGTTACGAGTTAATTCTTACAATGCTCACTTAGGTCTTACTTCTGAAGACTTTCAGACATGGAAGAAAAGCATGCTGGAAATGTAATACGTAAGTACTTACTAGAAATAGGAAAGGAGAGTCATTAATACAAATCATGTAGTAGTTTCTATGATCTTCTGAGATCATCACAAACGAACATTCTGCAGTCACCAGAAAAAATGGAATAGTAAAAGGTGTCTGCCCAAATAACTTCCATTTCCAGTACATTTATTTTTTTTCCTAGGAAGCATTTGATACTAAGCAGCACCCTACTTTGACAGGTATGAAATAAACCTGTTATTAATTTTCATTACTGATGGCAAAAAAAATTGAGCGTGTCATTCATTCATTAATCATTTCAGAATTAAATAACCAAACACAGATCTTAGCTTAGATTGCTTTTTTGAAAGGATGTAAGAATAAATGAAAGTCTGCTCTAGCACCATTGCAAGGAAGTGTATGTGGAGTCAAGAATAATGAATGACAACCCCAGTAGATCAGAATGGTTCTTCTATCTCAGGTCTGTCTCGTTAATTTAACAGGATTAATAAAATTACATTGCCGTTTAAAAAAATAAATAAAGCAAAAACCCCTGTCAGTTCAAGAGACGAAAACTTTAATTACTAACACTTGAAGAAATAGATCTTTTAGGTTTGTGTTCACTAGCTTTCAAACATGGACATAAAATGTTGACACACATTTCCAGTAATAAAAGGCGATTTCAGATTCACTGTAACCTCACAGGAAAACCTTACCGCCAAGATGCAATTACCTCCAGAATTGCAGCAGACATTCCCTCTGAAATGGAGCTGTTCACCACAGCAAAGCACCTTTTCATAGCAGCATGAAGATCATCTTGGGGCATCTCCTGTAATAAGTGTACCCCAGGTGCCCTAGAAATAAAATGCACACAAATAGGGCTCCTGATAAGAACCTGCTCCAACAATTTTTCCTAAAACTTATGGCACTGAAGGAAGGTGGTCAAAGCAACTCAGGCTTGGTTCTGGTGTTAAGATTCACTTGCCACTTCACCGTGTTCTGGTTAGCTTTCTGTTGATAAATGTGGTTATAAATTCAGTACAGTATACACTGCTGTCAGTCACTATCAGTTGCTATCAGTCACTGCTATAAGCCTGTTGTTCTTGAGTTTTAGTTTTGATCAATTACACCTTGCTCTGTTAACCACTGTAAGTACTTAAATGAAGCAGCTGAGTTCAACGGAGAGGGGTGTGATTTTCCCTTAAAGAATTTATGCAATATAGGAAGGATGCATGCAGAGACTTCAATACTTATACACAGTTTAAGTACTTAAGAAATGGAGCACAATCAGAATGGTCAACTGCAGGAGATGCTGACTTTTCAGCTGCTGGTTTTGGGGGATGGAATGTGGTTCTGAAAGATCTCTTCTGCTTCCTCTTTCATTATAAGTACTTTTCTATTCTGATTGGTTAAATTTCTCCTGTTTCATCTTCCTCCGATTAATCAAGGCCAACTGAATCAAGGGTGAAGTGTTAAAAAAGATGGAAACTATGGGTGCAGTCTCAGATCTTTCAGACTGGTGATCATGTTTGAAAAGCCAGCATCTCCTCCAGTTGATGAGCCTGCTCCTGCATGGCTCTCAACATGAGATCACTAAGCCAGATGGAAACACAAGTGCATTTGACATTAAGGCTAGCTCCCTGTCAAGCAGACTTTGTTAAACGTTGCTTTTCTGATTGTATTTTAACAACCAGCTTCTATAGAGATAAATAACTGTATCAACTGGAGTACAAATGCATGATGGCAGGAGTCATGTTGCCCATGAATAACCTGATAGAAAACAAAGATCATTATATTGGCTTCAATGGAATGAAAAACCACGCCCCTTACGCACATTTTATTATCAGATAGTATCAGCTATTACATGGTGGTTCTGTTCAACTCTGACAATTCTCAATTCTGCAGACACACACAAAGATCCAATTTCTCTAACATTTATATCCTTCAATCAGGAAGCATATAAACTAGGGACAGAATAAAAGCTGTACAGGGTTATCTTGTCCAGCTACTCATTCACCCACCAACAGCAAGCATGCAAAATCTTGCAGAAGCCAGGATGGAAGAAAGGAGAAGACTTAAAAGCATAACAAACATAAATCACACTAAACCACATGTGATTTAACACAAAGCATGAGATCTACTGGGTATTCTAAAATTTAAAATGTATGGAATATCTAGTATGAGAACATTACATGCAAAGAAATTAGAACAATTCATTAGCCATAGAGTTGTGCATATATGTTCGTTTGTATTTATGAAAGAGCATTTAAGCACATGATTAAAAAGCTAGTCAGCCAAGTGCCTTCACTTGGAGCAGACAGAAGGCTTAGCATTAACTTCTTACCTTTTAACTTTTTCCTTAACTTCACTGGTAAAAAGGGGATCAACCTAGGAAGGAATACACACAAAGGTATATGGCACTACTTTAGCACTACAGCATGTTTGAAATACCCAGAAAAGAAAAATAAATTTTAGCACATTTTTTACTAAAATAGTTAAAGACATGAATGTGCTGAGCTTTGAAATCCTACCACTATGGTGTTTACATTTGACCCTTCAGACAAGCACTCTTGTGAGTGATTGACACTCAGAATACCCAGCTAGGGGGGTTGAGTGCACAGCATAGCAGAGCATGAATTGACTACTCCACTCTAAACCTTTAAATGACTCCTCTAATGCAGCGTAGCTTTGGGCTGCTGTCAGAAGAGGAGGTTCCCTTTCTTCTCCCCTGACATCTCTCTGGCTGCAGGTTCTAATTAGTGCTAGATCTATTTAACATGAATGACTTTTCAGATGACTCTGCTAAGGCTAACAGTACTCAAATGACCGATTTGACAACTTACTGTCTAAGTGAGGAACAACGCACTGATGTGTAAGCAATTCTTTGGCACTTTGTGTATGGAGTAAGCAATGCGAGGAAGAACAGGAATTTTTCGGGCTTTAGTTAATACAGGAAGCAATCCGCATGTAAACTGAGACAGGCAGAGAGATGTTATGCACTGACAGAACCGCTTGTTTGAGAATGAACAAACACAAAACTCTAAAATACAGTCTAACATGACGGTATGTCAGAGTTATTAAAATGTTGTCTAAGCTGAGCAATTAGCTCCAGCAGTTTATCTGCAAAGCTTAGCTATGGCTGTGATTATCATTTAACAATTAAAAGAAATAAACAGAAGTTGAAAACCCTTAACTAGACATGAAGAACAGAAAGAGATTTTTTTTTGCTTTTAAGGCTGACTATATTAGATTAACTTATGGTAGTTTACACAGCATACAGCAGTTGTAAGCACTGGGAACAACGCGGCTTGGGGTTTTTAATGCATGCTTACATTTTGTTTGGGTTTTTTTCCACGTTCCAATATAAAGAACACTATCAAAGCATTTTAGAAAACTTTTGGAAAAAGTCAGAATTTGTTATAACCATGATTGTGGTTTTTGAACACAAGATCAATTATTTCAAGGCTTTATAAATGAAACGATTCAAGTGAATCACTCTTGCACTAACGAATGCAAGAAATAAAAGGCCTGCATTACTACTTAGGAAAGTAGTTTTGGTAACAGCAGGGGAGAAAATCAAGTGCTCTTTGCTGATACTGATGACAGGGCATGATACAGATCTATCCATTAAACCAGGATGTCATGTCACAGGTTCCTTGGATATTTCACATTGAACTTAATTTCTGTACAAATACCTTTTCAGCATTTTCCCCAAAGTGCTGTTGTGATGCTGAGGTCCTCTCGTGAGAACCTATACTCTGTTTCCATTAAAATCAATGGAATACTTGCAAGTGATATAATGAGCAGTGGTCCTTTGCTCTTCTCCCTTTAAAAGGACAAGGAAAACTACAGCCTGTGATATTAATATTGCAAGATATTAATTTCTATCCCATCTACTTCAGTGGAAGCCAAGAAATTGCCATCTGCCTCATACACAGAACAGTCCTTTAAGCTGTATTCTTCTATAGGTAAATATTCCAAGAAGCCAGGCCTGAATATGAGAATTCAGATAAAGTATTACTTTCAGGATGGGTGTAGCAATGACTTAAGAGAAGTGATCCCCTGAGCTACATTTAGGAACTTGAGGGGGCACAGTTATCCAACCACAGGCTCAATATAACAGAAATTAGATGCAACATAAGCTGTTCGGTAAGTTGGAAATGCACTTAAAAGATGTGAATGCTTCCAAAGCCAACACACTATGGCAGGATGCCTAGGAACTTAGCATAGTCTCAGAAAAAGGTACTGGAACTAAAAGAATATTACTTTCACCCAAAACGTCTCCATGATCCAGTTCTTCTACAGGTAGAGTGTTTGCTGGCACATTTTATGTTATTACCTGTCCATGTAGCAGGCAGATACGATCATCAGTTACCTATCGACTTTTGTTAAGATACCATCCATCCAGAGGAAGAGCCTTTAAGGAGCTGCAAATTTCATCAGTTTAGCAGAGATCAGAGGAAAGCAACTTGCGTGTACGAATATCAGAACAGATGAGGTAAACTGACACATGGAAAGGGGAGTGGGCACATGGCAAGAAACCATACCTAGCAGGACCAGATGCACTGCTAGAGAAGTTCTACTCTGCTGACAGGCAAAGAAATATCTGAGACGTGTCTGATAGTGCAGAAAGTCATAAATCAAAACCCTGCACAAAGATGAAGGTGCCTGTTAAGCACAGAGCCTACCATTATCAAAATCTAGGAAATCTTCTATAAACACACTATATTAAATTGCTGCCATGTAAGAATTAACTCAGACAGAAGCAATGGTCCAGAAACATATTCATTAGAATGCTGGGATGACTCTAGACTTTAAATGTACTAATACCTGGTTTTCCCTTCAAAGTTCTGTCAGAATATCATCCGGAGCACTAAAGAGTGAAAAGCTGTATCTGCAACCATATTCAATACAGATAGGAAGAATTTGCTCAATTGCTCCGGACTGTGAGGTTTTGACAGCGTCACTGTGAAAGGAATCACTTTATTCACAGCAGCAGGTGACAGACACCATATTACAATTCTTATCTGATCGATTACTTGAATAGGCTCAGCAAGACCAAGCTTTGCCTACAACTGAAAACACAAGCACCGTCTGCGACGCAACGCAATCTGGCTGCAGTGATTGCACCAGAAATGTAAGATCCTTGCAAACACACTAAACTCAACCATTCTACATCATCTTTTCCATACACCAAATGCTTAAGGAAATTCACTGTCTTCTGGCTTGCTTCAACCCCCCCCCCCCCCCCCCCCCCCATTTTAATTCAGCCAAAACATCTGGGAACTAGGATCTAAATAAACAAAACTTTGGGTCTAAAAGAAAAATATACAACCTCTTTAAGATACTGGAACAGCTCATTTCACCATTTCTAACAAACCTGTCATTTTCAGGAAGCTTTTCTTGCAGAACGAGCAAACAAGGGGTTACAAGAGTTGTCATCTTACCTTTTAAAACATCTGTGAGTAGGACACTTAAGGCAGGATGTACCTGGCAGAATTTCATAGTCCTCAGCAGGCTAAAGAATCTGAAATTGTATCTTTGTCTCCTAGCTGGTTTTCTCAGTTATTGTGCTTGAGGATATTCTGGAGCAGGTTATTATTAGACTTCCTCTAGTTGCTTAGATAAGTTGTGTTCAACAGCTGGTTCATTTTAGAACTAGCCCACAAAACAGAATAGGTAACAGCAATCCAGTATAAAGAGATAGGTCCCACTATCTGTGGAGGCAAGTTATTCAACTAAAACTGTCTCAGTAGGTATGAAAAGAAGTTGGACAGAGGAAAAATAGCTGTCAATGGAATACAGTATCATTACAAACATAGCGATATTCTGTACTATCCACAAGAGTGGTTAAGAATTACAAAGTGAGTACAAAGTGGCCTTCCAGAGGTTGCATGCTGAAGGGAAGTTTTGTGGCCTTAAAGTTTCATAAGATTCTATTCTTGGAATATGGAGCTGCTGAAAATTAGCCACTGTTTTGAATTTCATTATAGAAATAAATAAAAAGAAAACTGGAAGAGAAGAAAAATGCTAAAAATTTTACACCATACAGGAGCCAACCCTGCAACATGATTTAGATTGCACCATTTGTGACAACTGTGCATGGTAAATGCACTAAAAGGCTATATAATCTTATGAAAGCAAAGCACAGAACAGTGCGTGTGCCTTTGTTCTTTATATTCTTAATTATTATAATCTTAATGTTTTTTTCATATCCACAATAAATGTAACTTGCTTCACAGATAATGGTACTGGTAGTTTTAAGGTTTTGTATTTGAGTAGCAACATGAATAAGAAGAGTACAGATAAATACCAACAGAGCTGAGAGTTATTTTTGTCCTTCAGCAATATTTTAGTACTATGGCAGAAATATGTTATAAACTGTTTTGAGGAGGTTCAGTCCTATGCACTGCTACAGGGTTATTTCTGGTGGCTTACTGTAAAGATGTTAGCTTATGAAGAAGTGAAGCAAATGTAAAAAGACGACTAAAATGTTTAAAATCCTCACTGGAGGCAGCAAGCGCATCTTTTGATTTAAAGCACAGCTTCATTACACCTGCTCTAGATTTGCCTTCCACACCAGTTCACTTCCACATCATCTTGCGTTTTAGCATGGAAAAAAAAATGCAGACAAAAAAGCAAAAAAACAGCTTTTAAAAAGAAAAAAATATGTCCCCAAATATACAAAGAACAAAACTGAACGAGAAAATAGAAAAACAGTTCTTATTTGCCAATTCAGATTCTATTTATTTTCACACAAAACAGACTGCCTACAAGTTTACAGGCTCACGTGAAGACGAATCAGAGAGGAGACTTAGAGGGACACGAACACATTACCCAGATGCAACAGTGAAGCTTTTAGTACCCTTTTAGCATCAGCTAGAGTTTGTCTGGTATGACACTGCTGCCTACTCATACCCTTCCACTGGTTAAATTAAGGCTACAGGCTGCCTTCTCAAGACTTCTGCTATGGCTATATATTTAGTACATGTATATTTCTTTTGAGAAGCGCTGCCATTAATTTTCTTAGTTTAAAGTATGCTCTCTTGGCATAGGCAACACACTAGAAGCAGAAACAGCAGGACAGTCTCCCTGCAGCTCCACCTGGTCCCTCTGCCAGGCTATGGGAAGCTGTGGGAATGAACGTGATTTAGCACAGAATTAGGAGAAGCACTTTGGTGGCTCTGAGGCATCTTTCCTCCTCTCCCTCACCAATTTACAGATTAATTCATAATAATGACTGCGATGGTCATCATTATAAACCCTTTTAGGCACTAGGGCGTCACGAAAAGCAAACCATTGCTGAGAAATTCATGACAGCATTTTGAGGCAGCAGCCCAACCGTGCGCTTTATCTAAAGGGAGCTCGCAATCACAGAGGAGCTGCCACTTAACTGACCGACCGTGAAAAGAGAGAATTAGAATTTGTAACTTCTAGATTTGTTAAACAAGATCTCTGTGACTTGCTGGGAAAAAGTGAAGTCTCACATTAATATTGGCCAGCACTTTTACTAAAATACATATAATTCATTTGAAGGAATGCTACCAACTCTAAGCTTAATCTGAGATGTGAATATACAAGAACAACTCAGTTTCTGATTTTATTTTAGTCAGCACCACCTTCCCTCTCAGGTATATGTAAACCAGGCCTTAAGGCACTCAGGTTCTAATTTTGTCAGCCCAAGCTCTGTTCTTGCTCTCTGGTGTCAGACAGAAACCTAAGATCGTTTTGCACCTGCTGACAACTGTTAACTGTGTACAAACTGAGACTACCAGAAATGCCATCAAAATCTAAATGGAATGGAACAAAGATGCAATCCTCCATGTGAATGAAAGATGTAAGAACAGGGATAATGAACATCTGATAGCACCTTCAGAGCATTACAATTCCTCATTAACAACACCTGCAAAAAAATCTTCGACAACTGTTGCCTTTCAAAATATTTGATAGGCTCATTTATAAATTATTCATATTGAAATAAGACTATTATTTTATCTGAAAGAGTTCACATTTTTAGTACTTTCTGTTACACTAAACAATTTTGTACTATCCCACACGTATATAAACCCACACCAGTATTAGAATCCAAATATTTTGATACCTTTTACCTATGAAAGTTCTTTCTGTAGTCAAATGGAACGCAAAACATTTTGTTCTAAGAGACCATAATAGACTAATGGCATTATCAAGTCACATGCGTGAGCTAGACATAAAACTGCAGTGATCCAGTTGCAAATGCTTTTTACAAAATTAGCCCAAGCCTTCTAAACAAACAAAAAATAAAATCAGTGTGTGTAAACAAAATCTACACCCGCTGTAAACTCTTTTAGAGCTCCCGGTAACAGTCTGCATTAATAAAAACCTACCTGAATGGAGTTGGGCTACCTCACTGTGTACCCCCTTAGAAAAATCCTCTTGGCTGCTTTTCCCTTTTGCAATGCAGATGCTGAGTGAGGGAGCCTATTAGCTGATAGCAGAACTCTGAACCTGGCAAGTCCAAGCACTGGAATTTCTTCTGTTTCTATAGTTTAGACCTGTTGTGAATAGCCTTTACAAGTGCTAGGTTTGTACTTTCTTATCTCTGCAACAGTTAGAAGGCCTCTGCCTTAGGTTCAGTTTGGAAAGAATTACTGTGGTTTGGAAAGAAGTATTGCAGTATCTCAGATGTGAGTAAACACAGGTATTTAGGGATAAAAAGACAAATAAATAAAAATTACAGCAACTTACTGCAGGTCCAATTATGCCCAGATGGATGCTGGGTTCCTTTCTGTGCCAATCTAAACCAGAAGAAGAAAATTTATTAATCAAAATTATTAATGTTTAATTCTCTCTCTGAAATCAATGCAAACAGCTGCATGAATACCAAAGAATTAGGCAAATATTGTATTACTCCTTAAAAGACTGAACGTGTGCCATGCTCACACTCAGCCCTCATATTACTCCTCAGAATTCCAATGAAAAGTTAGTATTTAGCATTTCTACTCCATGCAATCTCTTGTGATTCAAGGGTCATTTAACTAAGCTCAGATATTAAATCTGAATCATCTCGAGAGAACAATACTCTAAATAATGCAGTGGCTGTGGCTGCTGAGACAAAATTATTTGAATTTTCTCCTATGTAAAGGTACATGTAGAAGCAACTCCAACCATTACGATTAATACTCAGTTATATGCAAAAGAGAAATCTGCTGCTTTTTCGATACCAGAATAGAACAAATCCAATTACTTTAATAAACCGTAATTTGTTCCTAAGTAAGTGTCACAAGGTGCTAAAGGCTTATAAAAGCAAGCTGAATAGTGGAGGCTGAATTTCTGGCTTGGAATATCTGAACCTTTTACAGACAAACAGAACCTGGCAAAACATTCATCTATGTGACTATGAGAAAACTCCAGCCTAATTTACAGTGTGGAGTCATAACGATGGGTGGTAAAATTTGCTTGTAACTTTAGTGATACTAATTAGCACACATGCAAATCAGTGTAACAACCATGTGACAGGAAGATAAAGAAGTTATTTTGAAGGAGGTGAACTCATCTTTTGTTTTCCATTAATATTATATGTAACAGCAAACCCCTTTTCCCAACAAGTACAATCATCAAGTATTGCTTTGATTTTGATGCTTTGTTATTCCCAGCAGGCTGGAAAAGATGCACTACAGAAATAATGCGTTGAACACATCAATGGTTACATGAGCATTTCTTCTTTTAAATGCAAATATATTACTAAGTTTTCTGCAACGAATAAAACAACTTATGCCAAGCTGATAAACATTAGAAGAAACACATCTGAACCCAGTAACAAAACAAGGGTATTCAAATAGCCGGTACCTACCCGAAAAGACATCTACTAAATACAGGGGGTCTTTGACTCTTCGAAGTCCACATATCAAGAGAAAAACATGTAAACTGTCTGTATCTGTAGGAATACCTGCAACAAATAACTTTAATAGTCCAAATGCAGATAAAAAAGCTGAACACTCCAAACTGTTTCATGAATGAGCACATACCACAGTAAAAACCGTAACAGGGTGCATTCTGAAAAATCTTCCTTATTATTCCCTCTGTTTCATGCTGTTGCATCAATCCTCAGATCAACTCAGTGGAGAACTTAATCATGCGTGTCATTTTACAGGGCACACGAGTTTACTTCCAGAGGCAATGTGCAGGATTTGGACAAAAAAAAATGATGGCTGTTATTCTGGAATACCAGAACCCAGCTTTGACTGACTAGGTAACTGTACAAATCCGTGTGTTTCTCAGTATTTCTACCCATAAGAAGTGTAAAACTGCATCCATATAACTCAGCACCTATTTCAAGGATATTGTGAGGTTTAGTTAATCAATGGCTGCAGGGATTAGAGCTGGTAATCTGACACTTTATAATAGAAGATCAGGTAAATGTCCCATAGGTATCTATCCCTAATATAATCCTATGTAGAAAACAGAATAGTTAACGATAATTTACATTATTGGAAAGCATTTATACTAACCTCATTGCTATGAAACACAAATGAAAAATTATTTTGGGGGAAAAAAACCTCAATATACAAGTTTTTAATGTTAAAAATCTTGTAAATACACAGCAACAACCCACAAAAAATAATTTTGTAGGCTATATTAGAAAAAGAAGGTCTGATGTACGATACTGCAGTTGCCATGGGCTCTATGACAGCACAATTAATTCAGAACACACTTCTGGAGAAGGGTCACTATGTGATGAACTTCTAAAATGTGCTTATAATAAACCAACATAATCCACAAATTGCTGAATGAACACACATAACAACAACATAATTTAATAAACACTAGAAGGCTGGAATGTTCACATTTGATTTACTGTACTGCACAAATCAGTTTGCTGTCCTTCAGTTCACCTATTTATTGAGCTCATGGCAAGGATAGATGACACTTATTATCTAACATTAGGCAGTTCAACAAGGAGCAGCAAACTGCTGCTCATCAGCAGCAGGCTGTTTGTGGGACATTAATGCATCGGTCCCATACAGGGAGATGTCACACAGGTATCAGGAGGGCTATGCTGTATGGTCGGAATGACTGTCTGTGAGATTTATGATCACCAGGAAGGCCACAAGGACAGCTGTGGTGGCACAGTGACCTGCTGCTGCTGAACACTGCAAAGCTCCCTTCCCTGAGGTCTCCTCCTCCCTTTCCCTTCCACTTTTCAGCAGCTGCAGGAATAACTCAGCTGCTTACACAGCATCACTGAACTGATGCAGTTTGTAATTTAAGATCACTCAAACTTGGTAGCAGCTTATGTTTCCTTATGGTGTTGTGTAACTTAATGACAGGGTCAGCCCTGGAAGACATGCCAGGAGTATCTCCCCTCATGTCAAGGAATTGTATTAACAGGAGTTCTGCATCAAACCTATATTTTGTGGGAGAGGGAGAATCAAAAAACTCATTACATACTCAAACGTTATTGCTTTTAAAATTAAAATTCATTTCAGGGACTTCTAAATGCTCCCTGTCACAGGGTTCATTATTGAGTCTATTTCATTTAACTTAAACAGCTTGAGTCGTTGAGAGCGGCTGCAGCAGACATGGTAAGTAATACTTTTCTGGCTATTGGACCAAGAAATAATTTGTAATTTCTAATACACAAACATCTGGATTAAAAAATGCATTCTTCTGGTGCAATGGACCATTAACAGTTTGTTTTTAAGACATGGGGCACTGGTTTCAATTTACAACATAAATCACACAAAACAAATTACTAGAAAGTGTCATCAAAATTCAGATCACGTTTTATCTATCCATATGGTACAAATATTCATTTTACACCATGAACTTCCATCTATCAATGTTCTGCTCTGGCTGTTTTGGAACAACCTTACAGTTAGCACCGAAAAGGTAGTCAGAAAGTAGAGAGAAAACACGTCTTCCTGTTCTCACACAGACTATAGAATTACTGCACTCTCAATATGACAGTACCCTAACCACAGAATCACAAAATCGTAAACAGGTTTGGGTTGTAAGGGACCTTAAAGATCATCTAGTTCCAACCATCCTGCTACAGGCAGGGACACCTAATCAACATTAACTACACCTGAAATAAACTTTCTTCTCCCTTAACATCATTTTGTTTTTGTCTTACGGCTTTCAGTCTCTTCATCTTATTAAATGAGGGTTAAAAGTGTTGTGACAATGAAAAGCCCTAAGAGACCAATTCTGGGCAGTACTGACTGCCATCCTGCTCCCTGTACAAAAACCTTAACCCAAAACAGAAACCAGCAACTGGCCCCACAGATGGCAATTGTACTTTGTAATTTGGATATTGCCATTCAGTTCATGTGGCATTTATAGGTACTTCTCCCAAGCATCTCATCAGCAAGAATCCTATTATTGCACTAGTGAAATTACCTAAAATAGTAGTTATTAATGAAAATAGTCCACTCATCTGACAGTTATTTTGAAAATACATTCACAACCTGGAACTCTCACCGTAGACCACCCCCTTCATGCAACTTTACAAAGCACTACCGTATCACAAAACTCTATGTACTTTTCTCCAAAATAGCAGATACTGGATACACTGTTCTAGAGACTGGATTCTACATGGCATTTCTAAAACCTATCATAAAAGGGCTAGGTTTGCTTTTGCAATCCAATTTAGTGAAGTAAGAATCAGGTGGTTTTATTTTATTGTATGTTTTACATCTTAGTCATCACCTAGTTCATTTTTGCAGGCAGACTTTCCCCACTCCATCCACTTGGAAGCTTATAAAGACATTCCTGAGAAGACTGCCTTCCCAGCACATCACTGCCACTGCTTAGTGCTGGGAGTTTACTCATTCTCTGTCTACTTAAGATCAAACTTCAGCAGCACTTGCATATCTTATTAGCTTTCTGCTCATTTACTGAAAATGGTTAAATGCACACATCAAGACAACGCCTTGTTTCCCAACCTATTGCTTTCTCAAGCCTTGCTAGCACACCTGCTGTGAAAAAAAAAGACACATCATTTGTACAAGAGAACAATCATTTTAGTATGCTTTTTCCTCACAAGAACACTGACAAGGGGAACATACAAAGAGAATAACTGCAGTAGTTGCCTCTACCAACTACAGCCATCAGCTGGATGAAAACTGGAGAAGAGAGTTCTTCTTTTTCCTAGAGCTTACAAGACTTTTGATACGTGAATTTTTACTGTCATTCTGCCTTTCCCAGATAGGCTACTTCATACACTACTGCCTTGTGTGATTCAGTTCTGAAATGGAAATACATGAATACGGCACAATCAAGGGGTTCGTTCTTCTGACACATTCACTAGGACTCCATCTTGTTTGACATGCAAACACCCAAATAACAAAAAAAAAAAAGCAGCTTGTGTCTGTTCCTCCTGTTTCTGTTAGTGTTACAAAAGCAGAGATTTGAAACCCCACGCTGTGCTTAATTTTCTGGTAGTTCATACATCCTTCTGCGTGCTTTGCAAAGAAAATACAAAATGGAAAGATCCGTACATAATCACTGGCTATAAAAAAGAGAGACTGCATGGTACATGTTCTCCAGCCACCCTTCAGAATCACTACACACTAAATGCAAGTCAAATCTTGCCACTGTAATCAACATCTCCTTCAGTGTCAAAACCAATTGTTTAATGCTGGTAAGAGATGTTCCTTTACACATACATTGTCAGTACTTGTCTATTGCTGTAGTCTGATTTGTTACATTGGCTTTATCTATAAAAAACAGCTGCACATTGGCCACAGCTAGTCTTGAGCCTGCAGGGCACCTGTTTAGCAATATGTGAAAGGTCAAAACAAGAACAGAGATAGATGGGGTTACGAAAACTCATTCCTCTCATCAACTTGACGTTATGCTGGCCTCATATGCCATACAGAACTATGGGGATGGTAACAAATAAACTGCAGGTGAGCTGCAATGAGACAGGCACAGCGGAAGATTAAAATTGACACGGAACTCCCACGGTCATGCAACTCCTTTTTCATGACGGAGCAGAGGTGGTATTATGCTGCTCAAAACTGAAACACAGCAATTTAGCACGTCACATTTCAGAGAGGAATTGAATGATCAAAAGGGTATCCTAGTGCTGTTCCAATGTATTTGTTGATAGTACTGGAACCTGGCACAAAATATACTGGTGAATAGATAAAATGTGATTAATACTCAGGATTCATGTTCTCCTGCTGGCTATGACTGCGTCATGGCATGGCCCAGAAGTTTGTCAAATCTAGACTTATCCAACTAGACTTACCCATCATCTGCAAGCATGCAGTAACAGCACTGGGTTTAATTTTTAGCAAACTGTTTTCAGGTCTTCAGTTGCAGGACAGAATGAGAGAATGGAGTATGTGAAACATGGTAAACATTTTCATAATGCAACACTGGAAATAAGCAGTTTGCTGTTTTAAGATTTCACTGTCTCCTAGTTTGTGCCTTATCTGAAACTGTTTAACTGTCACATCAACTATTTTACTACCATGACACACTACGATAGTTTATACTTTGGCCTTTATTAAAATCTGTACTTTGATGCCAGGATAGCAAAACATGAACACAAGTAACGAAAAACCCCAAATCATTTCTGCAACATTAGGAAGGACACTGTTTTTCTAAGAAAGGCAAGAATAAGTAGCAGTGTTATCTAACCAGATTCTGAAAGAGTAAATTCATGTAACTCCACTCCCCGTGGTACTATCAGGGAAAAAAATGTAGTAATCACAGATGTACAGTAAAAATAAATATATTACTGCAAATCCTTAATCTTCCTGAAAAGCTGCAAGCCTCTAAGTGAGAAATATCAACCATTACCTTGCTGAGAGGTAAAGAACCTGGCATGTATTTTTGATACTCTAAATCTTCCCATTCACAGTTATGCTTCACGTTCATCTCCCTACACACAGCAGAAATACCATCACTCGCACTTCAAGTCTCTTGGCATCAAGAGTTTGACCTTGTGTCTCTTTCACAAGCCAACTATTAAAAACAAGCTGCCCAGACCAGCCAAGTTTTCCAGCTTGTTTGACATGGTTTCCTTAATTGAAGTTACTGATGACACAGAACTTCAACAATTATTAGCCTAATTAGGTCTTATTTCAGAAATACACTTAGCCACCTGCAGATCTTGAACATTTATTACCATTTTATGAAGTTGAGCTTTTATTTTACAAAGCAATTTGTTTCATAGAAATTAAGGAGAAGGGAAGGTAGTAACTGTATCCAAAGCGTTTATCCTGCCATTCACATTCAACAGTGAATAACTGCTAGAATTGCTGAGATGGTTCTGAAGACAACAGAAATTATATGAGCCTGTTAACTTCCAGGAGCGGGCTCCTAATGCAGAGAAATCAGACTGCAAAATTCTCCAGAAATCCTTCTTCTCCCCTGTTTCTCATTACTTCTAACAGATCAGACAACAAAAATGCTCTATGCTTTCAGATCTGCTGGGGAACACAGCTTACTGCTGCTATGATATTATTTCTATGGTCAACTATATATCTGCACAAACCTTTACTATTTAATTTTTCTTACGTGGTTCTTTATTTCCAGCATAACTTTAGGAAAACATAACGGCTCTGTAAATCCCTGTCCGTATTATTACAGGTTATGTAAACTTTTCAAGCTCTGAAAATAGCCATGCTAGGAAGCAGATATTATCTGAGAGTAGAAAAATCAAACTACAAAAGTATATTGCATGTCTTATTTGACAATGCAGTAAGCATCTGACCCTGCGATTCTATGTCACCTTCCAGGAAACCAGTTATTAGTCTTATCTGTTGGGTAAAAGAGCTTTCTCAGTTCATTAGCATAGATGTTATTAGCTATCTACATCTTCTAATCACATGATGTCTTAAGTGTTTATTAGGTTTTACATCTCACAAGCTTCAGCCACATTCCACTGAAATCAAAAGGAGCCTTTCATCACAGTATGATGACATCAAGCCTGTGATCCTAACTAGCTATGCTCAATCCCTAAGCTAAATTGTTAAGAGAAGATCAGTCCCAGTTTTAGTGTTTACTTAGACTGTCTTGTAATTTTTTGTCAATCAATTTACAGCAAAAGCCTGAACTTTCATTGTCTCTCTCAAGTCTAAACAGGCTTCTAAAATGGCTAAGAAAACTGATGGTGTTGTATTATAGACTCCTGTATTACAAGGTCAGAGAAAAACATTTTGATCATGTGGTCTGACCTCCAGACTGACACAGGCTGCAACACTACCCTAAACAGCCTGAGTTACTAAATATACTGAAAACATTGCCTTCTTGGAAGTCTGTGTTGAAATCTGTGCTTGGTTCAACTTCTGGGTTTGACTACAGTCTCTCATCCTCATAGGACAAACTGTGAAGCTGGCTGTTAATCAGAATGCAGAATCAGAATGCAGATTAACTTTAAACACTGGTTTTTGTAGATTTAGTCAATAAATATTTTAACAGCCAGCCACTGAAAATACTGCAGCTAGAAGCTAACACATGCACAATACACAAACATCACCTGTGCAACTCTCAAGTCTGCTACTGAGGCTGCGAAGAAATACTAATTCCATGATTTTTGTACTAAGATTGTACTGTACCCATAACAATAACATTTCACAGCACTCTTTCAGTTTCTCTTAGGCTATTGCTATTTTCGTTAGCAACCCAAACTATAAGATTAAATGTCCAAAAAGCTGAGATTTCTTAGCTTTTGGTTTAGTACCATTCACATTTGGGGGCTGGAGGTGGGGGGAAGCCTCCCACAATGAAATGTATTTGATGTAGTCTGCCATTCACTTAAATTTACCATTAAATTCTTTCTGAAGCCATTACACTAACTTAGAGACTATTTATGTACTGGTTATATTTAACATGAGTCAGATGATAAGGCTGTTCTATGACTAAAAAAAAAATACAAATCAGTACAAAGAATATTCATAAGAAGTCTGTTCTATGAAGAAGGTCTTGAAATATTCTGAACAGCCTATTTTATTTTAAAGAATAACCTGACAATGTATGGTCTGACCACCAAGGACATTTAACACTCATGCCTCAAATGTATTATAATTTGCACTGTAGGGCATGTCCTGTTTCTTTACATTCAGTCTTGGGAATCCTGAATTTGAAAAATTTCCAAGGACACTACTAAAGATACAGGCAAGAATTACCTGGTTAAATATTTCCCACAAAAATCATTAAATGTCTTTTAAATATGGAACAGAACTTCATCAAAAAAACCTTTAAAAAATCATAAAAGCCAAAAGGTGAACCAGATTGGACAGCTTTATCTGCATGAAAGCTAGGAATCTTTTCAAGTGCACTTCATTGTGCAAACCTACACTATCAAAATCATATTCTTCTGAGCAAAACCGCCTTCTATTTTTGATGTTTTTTTCCTGATTTCTCCAAGTTTAGTAGAATTTTTAAGACTTTGAAACTGGAAATACCCAGAAAAGCAATTCAATGGGAAATCCTTATAAACTCCAATTAGGAGTCATCCACTCTGGCTCCTAACTGGTACAGCCAAAAAACCTACCTCCTTGGGCAAAATTAAAAGAAGTGGAAATTGTAGGCTGCCACATGGATACAGAGACAAAACTGATGGGATGAAACAGTCATAAAAAAATAATACTGGAAAATCTAATTCCAGTTTTCAAGTTATTACTTAACAGGCACAGATGTCAGAGTCACATTTTAGTTTGCTTTTCATGTACATTATGAATTATTTTGCACTTTTGCATTAGTACACATTAGGCAAAATACTGTCTCTAATACATTAGATGAAATGCACTTTAGGGGGAGCTTCCCCCTCTTCAATCTGTTGACTGATATTTTAATCATAAAGTGGTTGGACACGAGATCCAATCAACACTGAGGCTGTGCTAGCAAGTGACAAATCTTTTCACTTCAGAAAACTATTAATCTTAGTGGTGCTGTGCTTGCGTGCCATGATTTACTGAGAACAAAATAATGTCACAAAGCTGAGTTTAAAATTGGGCACCAGTTTTGAATAATGGCACACATTTACTGATGCGATAAAGCAATTGACAAGTAAGGATTCATTTGTAACAGAGGGAACAGCTGTACTATCAGAGATCAGACTGATGAACATAATATTGAAATATTTTTACCACAGTAAAATGCCTACGAATTCTTCTTTAGGGAAAAGGCAGCTGGAACGATTAAAGCATTGCCAAGACCAGGTGTCTTTAAATTAGGTCATCTGCCTTACATGCTGTTACTTTGGTGAAAATGGAAACGGGCTCTAGGTCAAGACCATATATTAAAACATCAACACGTATTTCCTTTCTTCATCACTTCTTCGCCTCACTGGCTCTTCTGCAAAAGACATCCAGAGTTTCTATCACACAACTTTAATGCACAGCGTGCTCAGGTGCTGGTGCTTTGGTCTAACTTACTTTCTAAGAGACAGTGACCCATAGGTCATGATGATTTTATCTTTTGGTGCTATTCAGACCAGAAATGTGGAGACAGCCCATGTAGTTTACTAACCAGACTAATCCGATTGATATTCTGCCTGAATCTAATGGAAGATTTTTTTCACTTTCCTTATCATTAAGTCATTTTACAACCTAATCAGTTGCCCTTCACATTGTAAAATTCTTTCATCATTGACATCTACCGAGAATAAATATAATGAGCACAGAAAAAAAAATGAGTTTTACCTGCATTTTGTAGAAATCTATACCAGTCAAATGTTTCCTTGGGTGTAGTCTTAATTCCTGTGTAGACAAAACGAGAAACACAACATGTTTAATTGGTCCCTGGATGGCTGAACTATGGCTCTTGAAGTGTTGCCCTGAGAAAACAGTATTTCTGTCAAGCACACTGAATTCCATACACAGCTGTTCTCATCTCAAACTTTCCCCATCCCAACAGGGTCAGGTTGCCTGCACAATGCTTCTGTAGTCATCAAACTGAAATTCAATTGAAAATTTTGCCCAATCACACAACACATGAAATTCTTTAGCAATCCAGGGAATTAAGCTCACTTATACCTCGCTAATATTTGGCCTTTTAAAATCTATACAGGGGATAGTATTATCTAAGGGGACATATTCCAAAACAGATACAGGTCAGCTGAGATAGACTCTTCATTAGGGACTGTAGTGACAGGACAATGGGTAACGCATTAAAACTTAAACAGGGGAAGTTTAGATTGGATCTAAGGAGGAAATTCTTTCCTGTTAGGGTGGTGAGGCACTGGAATGGGTTGCCCAGGGAGGTTGTGAATGCTCCGTCCCTGGCGATGTTCAAGGCCAGGCTGGACAGAACCTTGGGTGACATGGTTTAGTGTGAGGTGTCCCTGCCCGTGGCAGGGAGGTTGGAACTAGATGATCTTAAGGTCCTTTCCAACCCTAACTATTCTATGATTCTAAGTCCTTAACATAAGGCAAAGATAGCAAATTAAAATTATATAAAATTACATAAATATTAATTTAAACTGAATGTTAATTTATTTGGTTTGCCTCATAGAATCATAGAATAATTAGGGTTGGAAAGGACCTTAAGATCAATTATTTTACTAATGAAACTATTATTTTTTAAATATCTTAGCTATTGCCTCCCAATGGTCTTAAATATAGACTAAATATGGCCTAAACAGACCTCATAATGAGCTTTTCAACATAGTAGTTCTGAAAACAATTTTATTTTCTTTGAAAATTAAATATACCAAATGAGCTTTGGAATCTGTAGATCAATCGGGAGCTGTAGCTTAAGCAATCACATCTAAAATGCTGAGTTGAGTGTCCCTAGACTACTCAAGCACTTTGGATAAGATACTTGTTGGGCATCATTATGCTGGGAACTCCACGCATTAAAAGGAATTTAGTTTCAGAGAATAATCATACTGCATCAAAACTTCCATATACTTTGAAGAAAGTTCGGTGCTCCCCTAGATATGACCTTATCTTTCAGATTGCTACTGTAAGGAATCCGAGGAAGCTTTTTTTGAAAAGAACAAAAAGCTGAAAATTTAGGCTAAGAGACTGCAATACTGCCCCAGTTAATGTAAATGGCAAAAAGCTCAACTTCAGTGGAATCAGGACTTCAAATCCCATACCCATTTCAGCAAAATATTTCCTGTGTAAAAATAAATTAATAAACTGAATGCCTTAGTCAATATTTCAAAACTCTCACCTTGAGTCTGGACATATATTTTCTTCCTAGCATCTGGCTTTAAAGAGAAGGAGAAGAAAAGTAACTTTCTTAGTTCACTATAAAATATCAACCTTCAAAAAACCCCAACTGGTCTAACACAATGCACATCAGTGTGGTTTTCTTTCGACTATTAAAAATCAAAATAGACAATTAGAGAGATACACTTAATGTACACCAAAACCCAGCAATGCAGATTACATTTACAGTGAACATTTACAGTATCAATGAATCAATTTTGCAATTAACACAATTACAAAGTTGTGCAAATGTATTTTTAATTTATCTCTGTATCCTTCATCAAAATCATTAACTGCTTATTGCATAGGAAATTAAAATATCGCCCTAGAATAGAAAGATTTGCAACTACAGAACAGCCCTACTTCCCCAAAAATATTACATCTTGAGAGAAAAACTATAGCTGGTTTTGAAACCACAGTCTACATTTATCCATAATAGAATTTTATACACATTGGGCATGAAACAAACCACATTTACCTCGAACCTTTCCAGAAATTGCTGATGGACTTGTTCACACAGGAAAACTGTCCAATAGTAGTTATTGCAGAATATCCCCAAATAAAAATTGCATAAGAAATTATTTGAAAATAGCTATTTTAAAAAGTAATTACTTACAACTTCCAAAGCTACTCCCAAAGTGCTACTAAGCTAGTTATTTCATTTAAGTGATTAAATAAGCAAGTTCCTATTTCAGTCTCTTTCTACAACTCAAATCATGAATTTGGGAATACATTTTTTCCACAAAAACATCAAAGTATTCTTGAGAATGTTCTATATATGATAACAAAACCACAACAAATCCAAAACCAAAAACCCAACGCTCCCCAGCAAACAAGCAGAGGTTTTTTGAGCTCACAGTATTTGGGCAAACCTTTGTGCTAGTTGCTCTAAAAAGCACTGGTTGCAATGCCTGTAAAGGAGTATGCTAAGGTATTACTCAACTGGTGTAATCTCCAACAGATTTGCTCAATATAACCTTGAATGTTTCACTTTTGAACTATATTCTTGTAAGAATTTCAATTAATGCTATTGCTTCATTTTTTTTTAATTATGTTGAACCTTCCAATCCTTATGCACCAGTTTCCCACTACTGAAATAAAACACTGACTGTAAGCACAAGGTCTTTTACAGTATTTCAAACTTACCTGGAACAAAGAACATTATAAATACTGCATTATGTAGTTAATAATTAAAGATAATTTATTCAATGTAATAGAAAAGGATTTGTCAGAAGATATAGCCCTTGAGCACAGTGAAATTGCTTACATGTTCGTAATTCAAATTCTTAATTGACCATCTAACAAATAAAGCACACATTAAAGGAATAATGCAGTTCACATCAGTGTGAGTTAATATATAAAAACTGTTAATATTCTGTGACCTCAGTATGGAAAGATGCATTCTTATTCTTCACTGTTTGAAAGTAAATGTGTGGCGTTTGCTTTCACCCTTTACATGAAGATAACAGCTAGAAAAACAACACAAACCTCAGCATTTAAGACACAGATCAGCAGTTGGTATGTCAATTTAGGACTTGACAGACTTGCCTCCAATTGTCAGTCTACTGCAGACCTTCTCCAAAACACTAAGAATAGGCCCAGAGCACAAAGGTGTTTAGGTAAAAAACAATCAAAGTATTTAAAAACATTTGAGGTGCTGATTTCAAAGGAATCTCAAAATCCAAGTTTGTTTTTCTTCCTCATACTCTGTTACTTTGTCTTTTTCTGGCATAAGACCTATGACGGAACCTGAGCCTTTCATGTTTACCCATCATGAAGTTAATGTTAGCAATTATTAAAACCAAGTTACATTTGTAATGTAAATACCAGATCCTGTGCCTGCTCAGGTATCCTTCTAATGCAAACAGACTAAAAAAATAATAATCAACTCATGCTGAAACAAAGTATTGAAAATTAATTTGAACTGTTGTACAAGCTCCACTCCAAGTGATTTTTTTTTTTTTTTAGGCAAGGGTGTATTAATGGGTTTGTAAAATGCAAGTCAGAACTGAAGAGATACCAAGCAGTTAGTTTCTACTTCTTGCATTTATTGTTCAGCTTCAGCTGATGTTTCATAAGATGAGGTGAGTGGAGCTAACAACTGGTGGCAGCTTGCAAGAGGGTGGTCCTGCTTTGTTGTTTTTATCCCAGTGTGTTGCCCCTTACTGTCAGCCAAATAGTTACTGCTTGCTCTGCACTGGATCTGGTGCTCAGTGAAGTTCTCTATGAACCAGTTCAAGTTTTTAGCTAAGAAGTTAGTTAGAAAGCTAACCCTGCACAGAATATCAGCAAGCCCTGCGGCCTCATGTGGAGTTTTTCACAGGTCACTAGTGCAGCCTGACACTACTGTCTTCAGAAACCAGAAACCAGGACTGAGCACTGTCTACTTCAAGGCTTTGTCTCAATTTTCTCCACTGGAAGTCTGCCATCAGCTTAACCATGCAGGGGTGAAAATGTTGACCCAGTCTGTTTTCAAGCAGGAGCATCAGATGCTAAAATAATTGCACTGTATCACTGAAGTAGACTTGCAATACAGCAGATGTAATGGTACCAACTAAATGGAGAGAAACTGGACAAACCATTATTATTCCCAGTCCTTTCCTGGCTAAATTATATCCTCCAAAAACATTGCCATATGTATTTAACCACTATACTACTGGATGAAAATAATTTTATACAGTGTTTTTCCCATATATCATTCAGCACAGTGTATTTCATTCACTTTTCAGAAGGAGAGATGAGTTTCAACAAAGTTAACTGCTACTTATGTGCTACATATTCCTCAAGGCGTGGTCAACAGGGCTGTATATCACATATTGCTGGGCTTAGCACAACTTCAGTTTTACCTCTGGATTTCACTTTAAAATGTTCATTCTATTTCCAGTGTTGACAAAACAAGTATTTTCAAATTATTCTTCCTAATTCTTTCTTGTAAGTAAAGCTGTTTACTGCATTTTAGCAACACAGAGTTTATTAAATGATGCAAAAAGAAACAATACATGCATATGGATGGCATCAGGAGAATCTCGATAACAGCAGCAACGATTAGTTTTAAATGTTAGAGAGAAACATTTCCTAAACTGCTGTATACTCTTTTCAAATGCTAAACAGCTTTTAAATGCCAGATCTATTTGACCTGTTGAAGTACATAAATATGAAATGCTTTCTCTGAAAGGAAAAACAGGAATACAGAATATGAAGATTATTGCAATTCTCTAGCATTATTTAGAAAACATTTTAGGAGAATGCATAGTTACTATAAGCATCACCATCATCATGTAAACATACCCACTCTGCTGCTGCCAGTTCCTTCATTTTCACCGTGAAAGCCACTGCAAACCTAGTTAAATGGACAAAAATAGTAGGGAACATCTGCTTAAAGTGTTTAAACATAAAACCAGGAAAGTACTTCAGAAAAATTCTTTGTAAGAACAAAGAGCATTATTATAGATGAAAAACAGAAAGCAGGCTTTCTATTTGTTTTACCAGAAAATACTGGTGAAACAAAGGGTACCTCTTCAGGCTTTCCAACTTAGAGCTCTTGGGAGTTAAAGTGAGGATTTCTTAAAGTAAGAGAAAACCCATTTAATAGGAAAATACCCCCATTTATTTGATTAATATGTACAGCTGCAGTAGTGAGCTAGCATTTCCTGTTTCTACATCATTACAAGCTGCACTAGCCCTCTTCCTAATCAGGAAGCTAGGTAAGAAGGGATCTTAAGTCCAGTAACCTTCATACTACTATTGTTTGACAATACCCAGCCCCACTGTTTGCAACTCACTCCAATTGAGTTTAATTCAAATGAGTAGATGAACTTTTCTTTAAACCTTTCCTCAGTGTTCTCTCCTTCTAAGTAGTCAAAGCTGTCAATGAGTAACAAACATTTGAGAGACAAAATTGTTATTCTTCAGGAAAAATACCAGAATTAATTAAACTAAAAAAGAAGAAAGATGACCCAGTGATTTGACTTCAGCTCCAAAATTTCACAGGCCTGGGACACTCAGCTCTAGCTCTGAATGTTATGCACCTGCAGTGCAGATGAAATTTGCAGTGCTGAGTTAAATGCCTGATATTCCTCTATAATAAATAGGGAAGAATTCAGTGTCCAGAAATTGGAGTTACCACAGTCATCATCTCAAGCAAAGAGACCATTAACCTAGCCAGACACAATACTTACAGAAGGGCACTTTGACTGTTATCACCTTAAGACTCTTGATATGAGAAGGGCCTTTAAATGAAAGAACTGTAATAGTATACTAACACCATCTACGCCTCCTTTACAATAATATATAAATGATAATACCAAAATATGAACAAGCAAACCGAAGTATACTTGAATAACTTAATGACTAGAGTTGTCATCTGGCAGCAAAAAAGAGAATTTTAATTCCCAGCCTTACCTCCACTTTTTCTCTTATGGCTGTTTATAATGGCTCAGCTGGACTTCTACTTATGTGCCTTTATGAAATGGATGTAGCACACTATCATTTCACATAATGGAAAAGTTACATCAGAGAACATTTAAAAGCAGCAGTTTTTATTTTTGGGTTTCTCAGCACAGAGAGACTTTAGCCACAAAAGTCAGATGTTTAAGCCATCTAGATAAACAAGTTATGCTTAATGGGAGCTTGGTCTAATACCAAAAAGTCACACAAGATACTTTTATGGAGTCAGAGTTAATAAAGAATTCCTGTTCAGAAGAGATCTTACGAACATGCTGGGCTTTAATGTAGCTTTTAAGTTGTGATGGAATGTAAACACATACTTTGACTTTACTCAAATGGTATTTTAGTGTTAACTGGAACCACAAATGGGACCATTTTTGAAGACTATCAGTACTGTGGAATAGAAATCTTTGAATGCCTCCTTCATATGAGACACAAAATGCCTGCTAAGCGAAGTTGCTTTTTTTTTTTTTACTGCTTTTATAGATATTGAATATAAAAAAGAGGTTATCACATATTACACTTCTGATTTGGTGTTTGTTTTTCATAGACATAACGTTTCTGTCCTGAGCCGACCCTATGACTATGACCCTATGACACCTCAATGGCTAGAAATGAAGCACATTGCCGAGTCACAACCAGAACAGTGCTTTCCTATTGGAGACATTATAATCTGGGGACATGAAATCACAATCATTCATTAGAAGTCACATAAATGCTGAATTATAACTCCTACTTTTGTTTGTTGAAACAAACCTTATTCCAGACCTTATTCCCATACATTTGTTTCGTAGTATCTGCTTTATGGTATTACAATGAATTTCATATATACAACTTGACAGCTTTAAGGTTATTAAAGCCATTGCAAATGCTTGTTTTGTCAAGTTGTACATGCTCCTCTTCCAGTTTTTGCAATCACACTTTCAATACACTGCATTAACAAGCAGAAAAAAACTCTGTTGCGCCTAAGTCTACGAAACTGTTCCACAGAAAAAAAGTACCCTAGAGGAGTACAACTACCATTTAGAGAAATTTGATTAAAAATGAAACACTCATAAAGCTAGACAATGTTCAATACTTTGTTTTATGGAATGTGATGGTATATTGTACTGGACAAGTAATCTACAATTCATGATACTTTCTGCTTAGAACCCTGCAATCAATAAAGAAAAAAAACAATAAAATCAATGTTTCATTTAGTAGCTATGCAATGAATAATACTAGTGATAATACTGGGTAAGAGATGCAATCAGAGTAAGTTCTAGAAAACTGAATTACTTTCCTGTAGCAGAGAAAATATTATCAACTGAATAAAGATGCAGTAACATATTCTGATACATCATGGGCAATCCCTGCTACTAAGCTATACTTCAAGTTCCTAACTTAATCATCATTAAAAAAACCCAAACATTCAGTAAAACAGTTTTTGCACAGGTATATTAGTTATGCTTCTGATAGATCATATTTTAAACACGGAATTGGATCAAATAGGCACTCAGAGATTCTGGTTTTATATACTTTTCGTTTTGCACAGTGCTGAAATTTAGCTGACACATTAGATACTTTTTTTTCTCTTCCTTCAGACCTGTTTAAAGAATAACTTCTGATTATCTGATAACAAAAGCAAACAAGTATATAAACTTAGTCTTGAATGGGTCCTTAAGCTGTTTTCCAACTACAAGTCACACTAAGACGCAAGAACATGCCCTAATGATTTCTCAATAAACGTGATTAAGTGCCGTCTTTAAAATCTGTTTACCTACCACATTTTATAGGGCACAATAGACAGAAGACCATATCTATGCCAGTGTTAAGCTAGCTAATAACAGCTAGAACATATAGTGCTATTGGCAAAGGTAAAACTACGAGATACAAGCCTGCTGCAGATTCAGTATGCATTTCCTCATTGCTAACATGAACTAAAATCCATACTGCTGCATCTGTCCCACTGTAATTATGTGTCTTACCTAGAATGAACAGAGACAGTATCCTGATCAAGCGCTGTTCAGCAAAGTAGTTAAGTTCTCCTAAAGTAAATATGCAAGCAGTACCACTGGATTTGATAAGATGTTCCAGATGCTTAAATTTTATCTCACCTTGTACACTCAGGGACCCCCTTCGCTTATGTAGAGCTCAATTCTGGAGTGATGACTCTTCAGAATACTCAAGTCATCAGAGGCTCAGGCACAGTATAGTCCATGAAGCTGAGTGACCTGCTGTAGCAACTTACTGCCACCAAGAAGACATCCTTTCTCGTATCCTTCCACAAGCTGACTTTTCTTATTAAAGGGGTAGAAAACTAACCCGGAAAAAAAAAAGAAGCCAATTTTACACCATTTAGTGAGTTAAACCTGCTCAAAAAGCAGTCCAGTCCTGGCACAAGGAAGAGTGGATCACACAGCCACAAGCAAGAGAAAGGAAAAGGAGCGCAAGAGAGGTAGCAGTAGCGCCATCCCTGCCATCGGTGAGCTATTATGCTGGCTACACATAAAATGGTAACATTAGCCTCAATCTCAGTAAAACTTAAACTATTGCTTAATGTCATCCACTGGAATCTCTACATCTGTAAAATGCTTTAGTTTCCAATAAGAAAAGGGCTTACTGGCCAAACATGGAAATGATCAAACACTGCTGAAGGCAAGCAAAAGGACACTTCTTTTCTGGAGATGCTGAAACAATGAGTAATGCTTTTTGGTTCTCAGTCACTTTCTCTGATTTCTTGAACTACATTAAATGACTACACTGACATGTTACTAGGAATTTTATGGACATTAAAACACCCTGTAAATACTCCTTTGTCAAGTCACCTAAAAAACTGAAATTGACATTGAAATTGAAATTAAAGACATTTTTCAGCCTGTTTCTTTGCTCACGTACCTAGAGAAAGGATCACATTATCGGGGGGGGGGGGGGGAGAACAAAATCTTTGTATGCGAGTCATCTGCATTATTATCAAGAATTCTGTCAACAAGCTAAAAGCCACGCCTCCAAGAGGTCCGATTCTGTGATGACCAGGACAAACACCAGTTACTTTTAGTTGTTATCTCACTTAAGTGTGCTGAGCATCTTGGTCTGTACGGGAATGAAATGTTAATTCCAATACAGAATGTTTTATGTGTTTGAATATATGTAATATAAACCAGAATTTACTAAGAAGCAAAAGTTTAAAAAGAAAAAGAAACAACTTGGTGCAACATTTAGCACTTCTGGCACAGGGCCTTTGCAAACAGAGTCCTACCTCGTTTATGCTTCTATTACTACAACAAGATTTAATGAGAATATTCAGACCTCCACCACTAATAAATATTTGCAATTTAAATAATCAGACCTCCACCACTAACTCACCATTAACTACCTCCACTACTAAAGATTCACTATTTAAATACCAAATATCAGCCACTTCGTGGCCAGGATAGTTCTGCACAAATGAGAACTGTATGGATATTGTTTCAGATATTTAGATGTGCATTTCTTTACCTAAATCTCTGCAAATATAAATAGTCTAAAATAATTTTGGTAAGAAATCTAAACTTGATTTCATAAAATTGTATCCATTACAAACATGTCAAATAAGCCACAATCAAGCTGCTATGGTGTTGAGTTATACTAACCATCAAAGGCTGCCTTTATAACTTCTACCCATAAAGCAGATTATTCTACAGAGCAACATGCTACCAAATCCCAGGTTAAGTACTCCTGCTATTACTCTTGTTTCTTTCACCTGCCTTAGAATTTTATATCCTCATCACATGCATAGTTCTATTATTCCACAAAACAGAATTCAGTAGGCAAAGCACAGGATTAGTTAGTAAGAGTACATATTTCATTAGCTTTTAATGGGATTTGAGTCTCTGAAAATTCACAACCCAAGAGACCAAGTTTCAGCAGTATCTCCATCAACTCTTACACGGACAAATACGAGGAAATATAAAATGAACAGACTGCATTCAGACTATGTTTTATGAAGAAAAAGATCTGCCATTACAAAAATGCAATTTCTTGTCATAAACCTTCCACACATGGTTTTACCTGGCTTCTTCTAGCACTGCTCCCATTACCCGATGTTTCTCTTCACATTTGACATCTTCATTTACATCTGTCCCACCAAAGATAATTCCAAAAGGAATTTTGCTACCTGCAAAGCAATGACTATAATGTAAAGTTGACCAACATAGAAACATATAATCATACAATGGTTAGTGTTGGAAAGGACTTAAGATTATGTAGTGGCAATGATTAGACAGGAACATTAGCAGTATAAGAGTATACTGATAATACTGTATCACTTATGTAAGCAAAAGCCTTTGAAAAGGAAACGGAGAAACTTGAACTTTCATGACGTGGGCACTGAAAACACCCCATACAGTAATTACGCACTTCCATAGCATGTTATCTGCTGTGTCTCTATAAGACACTTCTTTGCCTTTTCCATGCTCAGTAAAACCAATCAGCTTCTTGGCAGCCCACCAAACAGCCTATATATTTTAAATGCTATTCACATTTAATAAGATAAAGTATTGCAAGGTTTTGTCACAGGTATTTAGCCTCAGCCACTCACTCACTGCCTCCTCAAGCATTCCAACACGGAGGGGTTTGGGTAACCATCCTGCAAAGCTGGTTACTGATTTTTTAATTTTTTTTTAAATATTGACTTCTGAAGCCAGTTTTATTGCTACAAAAAATATAGATGGATCTGCACCACTGGAAAAGGCCACCAAATTAAATAAGGCAGTATATGTGAACCTGCAACAAACCCACTGTTTTTCCTAATGCCATCCCAGAAGATGGATCTGTGCTTATAACTGGTTGTTCCAAGACCCTCTGTGATCACTCAAGTTAGGAAGTTGTTTTACAATGCCTTACAGTGCTCAGAAGAGTATGAGCAGAGGAAGTCATGTTGGCTATGAGACATTCTGCACAAGACCTTATCATCATTCAAATTTTAGAGTATCAACAAAATCATACATATCCTTGTGGTGTACGCTCTCTGGTAAAAGCCTAGTTTTGATATATGGCATCAGAATAAATTCATATTTGTGAAAGGGTAAAGCCACCAGAACAGGTAAGTGTAGCACTTCTATGCTAACAGTTGCTAGACCTACATGGACATGGTCAAAGATCACTTAAGAGGAAAACAGAAAAGCCAATAGTAGTGCAAGATACTCCTTTCTAATAGTATTTCTTTTCAAGTCAAGTAATTTTTAGTAACTGACAAGTCACCAGTAATGTTCTCCCCTTAAACTAATCAAGATACCAGACAATAATGCTTACTGTTGATTGTTTCAGCACTGAAACCAATTAAGCGGTCAGTTTTACACCACATTAAGCTAACAAATAACAGCCTCCTGGTGGCTAATTACTACATGCAAAACATTGTTTTAAATTCCAAACAGGACTGCAGTCTTGCAAAGGAAGCAGTCTCCAATAAGGCAGCCTACAAAACCTGCCATTAAGATGACCAGTTTTGTGGATTTTGCAGACCTCTTAGTTTTAACAGATGAAGCCAAGGTTTCCTCCTGATTGGGAACAAGAATAGGCAGTTAGGCCATACTGCCACTACAAACTGTGTATCAAGAAAGGCACAAAATGTGCTCTGTTTTTTCACTTTTGCTATCAGATGGAAGGGGAGAGGGATGAGGGACTCCGTAGACAACACTATCCTCAGCAGTGGACCACCAACCAGGCATAAGGGGTTGCTGTGTTGGTGCAGGTTCTTCCTTCTAGGAGATAACATAAATGACCTTGAATGTTCATGACTGTGGAAACTATCAGTGACACTTTCTGTAAATATCCAGTGTCTTAAGGGGTTGGAGAGAAATGACAGGTTAAATTCAATGAGCTCTTATAATTCATGATTAAAATTAATGGTTAAAATCAAGCATATAAAGAAATCTTAAAGCAAATGAGGAACATAATAAATATGTTGATAAAAATAGAAAAGGTACTCTATGTTTTCCATTTATATTTGAAAATTAAGTGAGCTTTAAGATGAGGATTTACTAGCATTGCTAATTGCTTCATTACTAAATGAAAGAAACAAAAAGAATGAAAGACTAATTGCCATTCTGGCTACTTAAAAGACTTTCTTTGGCATTTTTAGATATTATACTCTAAGTATATAGAGCTTTTAGGTTTAATTTAAGGTTTGTAGCAAAGCACCACAGCATTAGTCTTCAAGAGGCTTTCTGCAATAATTTGTCTCTCTAATAAATAAAACAAGTAAATAACTACTGTCATCCATTACATGTGTTGATCATACATCCCCAATCATGTAAACAAAGTTTCCAGAATAAGGCCCAAAAGATTGGTAGTATGGTAGTAATGGCAGTATGGTTCTAATCACTGGATTTCTTTATGCTAATTCATCATATAGACAGTATGGAAGAACACATATTCCATGAAACAGGAATCTCCTTCAAATCACTTTTTCCCTCCAAGAAGTCTACAATAACTTTTATTAGGATCATCCCAGCTATCATATTATTTACTGCCTTGCTTTTCAGATTTCTTTTATTTTTCTTTCAATTATTGCAAATGCATTTTGGAACAGTGTGACTGCGATTTATTTAAATTACTGAGCTTTTGTAAATCATTCAAGTATCAAGCTCTGCAGGTTACTTGCAATTTTGAAAAGCTAACAGCAACAGCACTTGGGCAATGCTATGCACGTCAAAACTACAACACAGTTTTAGAGTAAACATTTTAAATGCAACCTTCTTTTTTATTCCTTAGCAAAAAAAGAGATAGTCCTCAGACCTTCCATAAGCATCTTCCAAAACAATTCTTGATCTTGTCACAAAACCAATCATCTCTATATTCCAACAAGAGAAATCTTAATACATATGTTAGCAGAGATCATCTTGGAGAATTACTTACTTTATTTGTATTCTAGGGTCCCTACCAGAATCAGAGCTTCATTGTAACACAAGATACACAAGCATGCCAGATGTAATAATTCAGGCTTTCTAAAAACCCACCAGCACAAATTGCAGGGGGACTTCTTAAGTCTGAAAACCAGCACAACAGAACTTATACTGAGATCTGATGAAAGTATCAAATTACTTGTCTTTGTCCAAGTGAATAGATTTGTACAACACAGAAATGGATCCACACCTGCAATTTCAGAAGGTGACTGCCTGTAATTTTGAAAGTCAGGGCTTCTAGTGTATCATTAATGTCAGGCTAAATTTTGTGCTATGTGGCTAGATACAACAGAAAAATTTATTAGTTTTCTGGTAATACCCTGTCTCCTATAGTTTAGCTGGCATGAACAACATCTTAAAGTTATTTAATGTCCAAAAAACCCTGACTCTTTTTTGAGCAGAAAAATCAAATTAGCCTCTATACTTTCTATTTGACCTCAGCTATACTTAGCCAAGCCATTATCCTCTGAAGGAACACATTTGCTGAAAATATCTTAATGTTAATATAATTCTCTTATCTTAATGTAGTTAAAGTACTTAATCATAAAATGCATTATGTGCTTTAAAAGTACATTTATTTAGTTCTCTCCTCCCTGGATTAGATCTCGCACAGAGAAAGATTATCAGTATTTCTGAACATTTGTTTAAATGGATAAACAGAATAACTACAGTATGTGTGGGTTTATACATTTATAACTATTCATTTTCTTCTCTTTCAATACCTTCTTAAGAGGTATTTTTACTGCAAAATAGAAAGAGGATTACCTTGCAGAAGTCTGCCTCCTTTATAAAGATGAATGGCCAGGGCTCCATCAAACTTGTCTGTGGAGATTAGGTTTGCTATTTCAGTTTGACTTTCATACATGAAAGCATCTTTAAGAACACAGATGTGACCTGCAGCATGTAGATGATTCCTTCATTATCAGAACAAATACAAAAAGAACAAAAAAATACACTATTAACATTGTAGGCATGCTAATATATAAAATAAGCCTAATAAAAATGTTTTTCCTTAATAATTTTGGTGATATTCGCATTTATGCTCATTTTGTTCAAGCAACCATGGAGCGATTCACAAGGTTGTGTTTTTTTTTACTGGAAAACATTTATTACCTTCAGCATTGTGAAGCCACAGGCACATTTCCAAGCAACAAAATCTGCATCCATTTTAAAGCCCAAGCCTACAGCATCACCTCTGGAAATCAGCAGAAATGAAGCACAATCAGGATCTTTCCTGATTGAGCTTCTGCTTAATATGCTGAAAAGACTCCTTTGGAATTGAGTGTGTTAGATCTTTATCTTAGAGTTTCTTCGATTCTTATTTTGTAGAAAGGCCACTGAGTGAAAACAGCACAAATACATCCAGCTGATCAATGCTACTGAAAACACAGAATATGCAAATAAATGAATACCTAAATAAAACTGGAGAGTTAAAATTGTATCCCCTTTTTGTTTGATTGTGGCTTTAATTGCTTCTTGTCTTAGTTTACCCATTTGTAAAAAAGGCACAGGATAATTGAAGTATAAGAAAAAAAAAACCCACAAAAGTTAATTACACATTTTCACAGTCTTTTTTAAACATCTCAATTTCTAACAAAGAGAAAACATAAAACAAAACGAACACCCAAACCAACACCACCACACCCCCACACTTCCTTAGCTCACCTATTCATCCTTATGGTTCCTAATATTAAAACATTGATTGAAAGACTGCCAAAGTCAAGAAACTGATTGACTACAGGGAGCTTTACTTTAGGCATTTTGGTGAGCCTTGTTTTAGCCTTTTCTTTTATACTCAGGCTCACAATTCCTCCCATGGAAACCAGAGTCATTTATCAATGTTTCCATTGATCAAACCCACGTTTCCGAGAAAATCCATATTTTGATAAAAACTAGCACATTGTATCTGCTGACATGTACTGTTTACATTTTCAGTATTATAAAAAGACCACAAGAATGCTTTCTGCTTATTACATATTGTTCCAGTTGATTTATTTCTCATAGCGTATTAACTGCTCTGGCATTAAAATCCTAACTCAATGGCTTCTTGGATAATGTCGCTGTTTCGTTTCTTGATCATTTCATATCCTCCCAAGGAATGTAATTTTCTGTCCTGAAGAAGTTAGTCATTACTGCAGAAATTGGTGCTAAAAATGTTGTAAAATGTCTAGAGGCCTTGGAAGGAATGTATTAGCACTATATCAGACAGAGCTCCATTGGCACAACATATGGTGCTGTATTTCTTCCTTATTCTAAAAAGAAACTCATTTTACTTTTAACTTCACCATTTGAAACAAGACCAATAAACTGCAATAAGTACTAGTAAATAATAAAGTACAGCCAGATTGTAAGCTCCTTATTTACACTGTTGAGCAATTACTTACATCAGCTGTCCCATGAACTTGTTCCAAGTACCTGCTTGCTTTTTGGAAGAGGCTCTCAATTTATAACTAAATAATGATGCCCAAATCTCACAGCTGTGGAAAGAAACTCTCTTGGGCAAATAGTTGGGATGCTCATGCCTGTATTCCATAATTTCACAGGTGCTCATTAAATAGTCTGAAAGATTCCTTTCCCCATCAGTATTGCAATTACCATAAATCACTATCATGTACAAGCAATATGTTTGCATATTACAATTAATTTGAAAATAACTCTCTCAGGACATCGGGAATCAAGAAACTCAGTTAGGAATGTTGATCTAAAGCATCTTTTTTAATACACTAGGAAGGAATACTACTTCTTTCCTCCACAGTCTCCACAGCTCCAAATCTCACAGCTGAATGGCAGCTGTTTCTGCAGTAAACAGAAGGGGACTCCCTCAAGTATTCCAAGGCTCACAAATTGTGTTTTACCTCTGTTATTTCAACTTTTTTTTTCTATGCATAATGACTCAAGAGCATGTAAAAAATTTGCATATAGCTTAACAAAGAAAAAAAAAACCAAATTATTCCCAGAAACATTCAAATTCCCAGATGTAAAGAGGCTTTAATCTCATAAACATACTATTGAGCTCAACATGATTAGTCACAGGCTTCGGATTATGCATATATGGAAATATATGTGCATGGAAGCAGAGATATTGGGCAGTATTTAAATACTGAAATTTGCAGCGATATTTTCGTATTTGCTAAATGACTTTTCATCTTTATAATAAAAAAAGCAGATTTTCACACATATGCTGTTATCAAGAAACATGATAAGAGGGTGCTGCAAAGTTACTGCAGATTTTTTTTGAAGGCTGATCTGTCTGCAAAGTCACAGATGTCCCTGAATCAAGCCAAGACATAAGAGATACATTACCCATCCTTTCTCCTCCTGGCAACTTTGTATTCACATTATTTTGCCATTTCATAAACAAATACTTTCTGAACGAAAAATAAAAATGAACATTCACAGTCTCCTGCTGTCTGTGAATCTAAGATAACACTGAGAATGCTAAATCTCATGGTCACATTTTATCTCCGTCACAGTTTTTGTACGTGGTAGATAAATTTCCAAGTGTCTTACCAACCACTGATTATTGCTTGATACAGAATTTGCCTTGCTCTGCCTTATCTTTCTACTGAAACTCTCATGAAAGCCAATAGCACTGCTTAGGGATATTAACGTTTCTAAAATGAAGTTCCAGATTTTGGGTGTTATACTAGGAAGTAACCAAACAGGGAAAATTTCAGTCATCCAGTAAGTTTGAAAGGTCATTTCTTAGAGTACATTATATTAGTCACTGCTTACACTGTGATACATACACATATTTGCACAATGAACAAAATATTTCCCACCTCCAGGGATTTTAATTTTCATGGAATCGATATATTTTGTTTTATTTTTTAAACTCTTGGAAACCACGAGGCTTGTCAGTGAAACTTCTGTCTGCTCTGGATCTATACCATCTGCAGAGAGATATTGCCAAAAGGTACAACCACTTTCTGACATGTTTTCACTTCATTAAAGATTTTTATAGAAAAACATTTTTCTCTAACACGACTATGAAATACCACATGATGTTTTATAACCAAACTTCAACCTGAATCTGCAGTTCACAGGTCTTCATATACAGAAACAGTTTTATAGTTCCAAACATAGCATGGCCAAAGCTAAGACACAAATGAGCAAGAAGTATGTTTACTTCTAAAGTACTGTAGTTTTGAAACTTGCTTCATTTTCTGTTATGTGTTCCTCTCAAAAACATTTATGTTCTAATTTTCAACCAGTATTTCGATGGAATTACTTGCAGACAAAGAATGTTTGATTTCCAAAAAGTTCCTGGTAGGCAGATACACTGACACATCTTGAATGGCAGAGAATAGGCTTAATCCAAAAATATTTAATTATCTCTTTCCCCTAGGCTGCCTATTCTGTAAAGCAGCTATGCATCAACTACTGTTAATCTATAGAGCCCAATTCAAAACTTACTAAGTGAGCAGAGTCACCTCCACTGCCTTTCTGAAACTCAGCCATAGCTGAATATTCACAATTCCCACTGAAGTTGATCAAATTGCAAGAAAACCTTGAAACCCTGCTCAATCTTCCCTGTTTGTATTGCAAATTCTTTTTTCTTACTTGTTAAAGCAAAGCATTCTTCATTTTATTTCTCTCTCAAATTTCCCCCTTAAACAACACAGAGAAATCGTGTTGGCATGAATGAAGTATGAATAAGAACAGAAATAAAAATACAGGTGAAAATGGGAAGAGAATCCTTCTGAAGTCAGTAAGTGTCCTTTGGAAGGACTAAATAACTCTGCAAAGTTTATTCCTGCCTTATAAATAGGTCTAGCCATGTAAAACATTTTGGGATGCAACATACATCAAGTGCAGGCCACGTAAACGAGTGCTTCTCAGTTCCAAAGGTGGAGGATGAATGCCTGCCTTGCAGCTGCCTGCTCTGGGAATGGCCATGCAAACAACAGCAGGGTTAAACTTGCACAGCACCTATGCAAACTGACGTAAGTAGATGAAACACCTCTTGTGATCTACCACGAAGAGAGGAGGATCTCCTGCTGTACAAGCGCTCTTCTGTATGGTTTTAATGGTGGCAGATAGGGTAAGACTAAACAGAAGAAAAGCTGCTGCTCAGAATTACTCCAATAAATGTCTAAGGAGAAAAATAATTGCAAAGAGCATTACTGAATTTGTGGGTTTAATTCTTTTGCAGTTGATTACCTGGAGATTTACCGAATGGCTCTCTCAGCTCTCCCATTTCAAATGTGAACTGAAACCATCCTTCTCTCTCCAAAAAATATTTAATTATTGACAAAGTGTTTAATCTAAATCTTTCTCATTAACCAATTAATTCAAGATTTCTATTCCTCCTTACTAGCAAATAATAGAAGATGAACAGAACATTTCAAGGGGCAGAGAAGATTCATTTACTTTCTTTCCTAACACCTTCTTTGATCTTATTTCTAAGGCTGAAGAATGACAGCCTAACCAAAGACTTTTGCTTAGTGTTTTATCCTCTACTCATTGCTCATAGTTTTTAAGGTGATTAAAGATTATGCACACCAATACAGGAATAAAGCCCACAGTGCATTCATTATATCACTTGTTTTAGCAAGCTCATTTCTAGCCAAATTAGATTCTGGTCAGTTTTGTCACCAGTTAATTTGAACTCAGGAAATTAGTATTTTCTTTATGAAAAGATGAAGCAGTTATAGGAACAGCTATAATATCATAAACATGGTATACCCAGTGATATTAAACCACAAATTTATGCTGGCAAATGTCCAACCTGAAGACACCTTCATTGTTTCATTTATACTTAACCAAAGCTAAAAAAAAAGGTGAACAAACACATTCATAAGCATGTACTCGGATACAACTGAAGCCCAATATTAACTGAAACATGCATTTTCAATGCACTATCACATATGCTACAAAGGTTGCCACATGAACCTTAGGCAAGGCAGATTAGTGTAAGAAGTGACATTCCCCAGGCCTTTGGCCATATACAGAATCTTATGTAAATTTATTTATTATTTTTAAATGGCATAAAGTCATAAGAAAACCAGTATTAGGATGGAAGTATCTGAGTTGGATAGTTTTAGTGATAGCTGTGACTTCACTAGCCTCTTTACTCGCTTGCCTTATCAGACTTCTTTCTTTTTCCTGAAGAGGCACATTTATATTATTATGACAAACAGTATTTATGGTAGGTGATAAGACAGCAACTGAACATGACAAATTACTGACTTTCAAACACTATTTCTGGTAGAATCCTTAATCCACCTTTATTGTGAACATGAATTAAACTGACTTTTCACTCGTTTTCTTTCTGTTCGAAGGTGTACGTGAAAGCAGCATCCACTTTTGTACCCAGTATGCCTATAAAGCAAGAGGATGCTAAAGCAAGTTGATGCACTCTACACAGATCACTGCAGATGTGTTCACATAGCTGCAAATGACTGCATTAACATGATAATATGTTAAACCATCTGCCAACTGAGCTGTTGCATCTCACCAAATCTTTCATACTAAAACACATTATCTCAGGCCACAATGCAGGAGTCACAGCTGGAGAAGGTTAACCAAAAGTGCTCATTACTATGATTCACATAAGGGCACCTTGCTAAACCACTATGTCTTGATAGAGTATGCTTACATGATCACAATCCACTTCAGTGTAATTGAAAAACAATTTGAAATAATACGTGGACATTTGTTTTCTGTGTTACTCAGGCTTAGCTTAACTAGAAATAATGCAAAACCTACTTTCCCCTAGATGATCTCTGAACGGCTCCACAGTCTAAATGTTTGCCTGACTTTCCACAAACTTCAAGTGGGAGATGAAGTTAAGTGAATATTTAATTTGTAAAGGTATAAGAAATAACCTTACGGAGGAAGAACGGGGATTGATGTCCCCAAGAATAACTACTTTTGTATTATCCAGTGAGAGCAAAAAGTAAGAGATGAAAGGAAATGCAGAATACCACACAAACCACGCCACAGAACTCTATGCTGGTATGCACAAGTATAAAAATGTGTTATAAACACGACATACTTGTTTTATCTCAACATCTTATTAATACTTATTGTTCATTAATACTTATTTGCTAACTGTAAATCTCAGAAAACTTCAGCTTTATCGGGTCTTTATGCTCTGTTTGCTTTAAACCTTCAACACCTGTGTGACCGACATGAAGCAGCAGATATGTTCTACCATTAGCTTATACAAAGCTTTGCACAAATCCAAGTCTGAACTTGGTATGACACAACTAGTGCAAAAACTGAGTGTCACAGGACTATTTTGAATGCACAACATTAAAAACATGACACTATGCAGACCGAGGTCAGGGAAAACTTTACTACAAGAAGGCTACCCTAGAAGATGCATCGTAAGAGAAATAACTAAACTGTGGATGACTCAAACAGATAAAAAGCAACCAAGTCCTTATTTCATGCCTCAGAAGGCAAAAACCATTCTGAAACATTTTAATTTTCATTGTATTTCTTTCAAACACCACTCCCATGCACAGCAAAGCCCTTGGAAATGCTGTCAGCCACATCCCTTTCCCAGGTGTCATAGAAAAAGTTAAACAGGGACATTAAGCATATTTATGCAGTTCTGTTAGTCCAGACTATTCCAAAGCACTACAGATTCGTGTCCATAATCCCCAATGGAGCCGCATGTGGAATCCCCACAGCAAGGGCACTGACTGGAGTAGCTCTTGTACAACTACTGCTGCAGGATGGCTTCGGTTCAGACCCTCATCACAGCTCCTACAGCCTCCTGGTCTTCGCATTGACTTCTCATCTCATCCCGGGTATTCCCCAAAGCGGGCACCTCTTGGAAAAACCCGCTGCTCCACTAACACCGACTCTACAGGGGCTCTATGGGGCGGCCAGTGAGGGGAACTCTGCTCCTGGATTGTGAGCCTGGGTCACCCTGCAAATGCAACCGGCTCCTGTGCCCAAAACCTGCCCTGAGCAGAATCAACTTCGGTTTGGTTCTGGGGTATTTTCTGTGGGGCAACCCCTCAGCTCCCCCTCTCCCCTACCCCCCAGTAACGGGGCAAAGGGGGACACCTTGCCCTGGCTGAGCCACCGCAAAGACTCACCTGGGGCCGCCCCCGACACCCCTCCAGCCTGCAGGCCCCGGCCGGCGTTACTGGAGGGGCCCTGCTTCGGCGGCCCTCTCACAGACCCCCGGCAGCCATCCCCACAGCTGAGGCGAGAGAGACGCGGCCTCCGTGCGCCAGCGGGGGCAGCCAATGGCGGACGCGTGACCCCCGCTACCCGCGGACCCCAGCCCCAGCCCGGAGCCTCCTCTGCCCGCCAGGGAGGGCTGCGGCAGCTTCAGCGTGCGGGGGAACCACCCCCATCCCTGCCCGCCGGCTCGCTGAGGAGCGGGCAGCGCAGGCGGGAGCAGTGGCGAGGATTCCAAGGGTAAGAGCAGGTAGCGGGATCCCCGATCCCATCGCATCGCGGGCGGGGGACGGACGACACTTACTGTATCCGGGCCGCGGTGGTCGCGTTGCCGGTCCGCGCTCGGAGGCACGCCAGCAAGAGCAGCCTCATAGCGGCCCCTCCTGTCCGCGCGGCGGGAGCCACCTCAGTGATGGGCAGCGCCGCCGCCCCCTCACCTGCCGGCGGCCCGGACGCGGCCCCGCAGCCTCCCGGAAACCGCGGCGCGGGGCCGGGGTGCCACCTGCCGCAGCCCCCGGCCCGCCCTGGGGGTGGCGGGACCACTCTGGGGAGGGGATGGCCTTGTCCTGACCGGTCCTGTGCCAGCCCCTCACCTGTAAATAGCGCCGTGTGTTTTCATTCAGCGGCACAAAGACGATGGGCTCACAGCATGGCTTCGGGGGAGCCCTAAATTAAAGGTCTTCGGAGAGAACATGAGGAGAAGGTCGGTCTCAGCCACCGTCTCCTCAGGCTACACTGCCGTTGCCATGTGTCTCCCAAGATGGAGGTGGTTCATATTATGTGCAGGAATGGGGAAAATACTAATTGTGGGTAAGATGCCAACAAGTAGAAAAGCCAGAGGAATGGGCTCGTCTAAAGAACAAGGCAGTGGGATGGTCAAAGACCACACCGAATGTCAGGAAGGCCATATAATGAAGAGCCAAAGGTGTGTACGTCCAGGGGAGAGATTTGGTGAAGAACCTCAGCTTCCATAGCAGCAGGCAGAACCCGAAGATTCAACAAAGCAGGGAAGACAAAAAGGAAGAGCCTAAACTCAGGAGGGGAAAAGCTGTATCCAAATCACCAAGCCAGTCTTCAGGATAAACCCCAATTGGGAGCACAGCGAGCAGCAAAGACCAGATGAGTGGCGCAGCAGGCACCAACACTGAGTTGAGGGAGTCTGTTGGGAGACTGATAGGGGCCAGGCGGCTGACTTTAGATATGGTCTTGAATTTGGGTCAGTATCTTGTGAAAACATTGAGAGAACAAGCAGGACATTTGTGTCTGGGAGACAGATGAGAAGGAGGGCGTGATCTGACAGAAAACTCACTTTTTTTTGCCTGTATACTCATAACCTGGTCTAGTTTCCTGGTGGAATTCACTACAGGGCCACATGGATGCTTATGTTTCCCCAAGGCTGTAGGAAGGGAGGTCTACAAACTGCACTGCCTGTGTACTGTGGCTTAAGGCATTCCTCCAAGTCTCAGTATCAGGTAGAGGGAGAAAAATATGCCAGATACAGAGAAAGGCTTTTAAAGTTAGTAATTTTTAAAACAGTACTTCTTTAAATAACTCACGTGGATCTCTGAGAATAATTGCAGGAATTGAGGGTTTAGAAGTGATAAAGATATATATTTGAGTATATTCTGGCAAATTGTAAGCATTTTGGTACACTGGCCCATGTTTTGCTAATGGGTCTTCATGCTGCGGAGCTATGTTCAACTATCTGCATCTCACTGAGTTACCACTTAGAAATAATCCAGCACAACATTGTTCAGACCATCTGAAACTCCACCCAAGCTAAAAAGAATGGTTACAACTTAAAGGAGCAACAAATCTTGTATAAATACTAATTTAAGGGAACAAGCTATTTTAATGTCCATTTTCAAAAGCATTACTGGCATGAAATCCCAGCTCAGTTGAAGTTCAGGGAGCTTTTGTGAATCCAGTCAGGATTCTAGCTTTTTGTTTCACTGGAAGCAGGCTATAGGAAGCATGTTCGAGCTTTTGAGAGCACTTACCACCCTCAAATCTAGCACCAGTCATCACTGCTGCACAACTGTCAGTTTAACAGAACTGTAACGTATCACACTACTGCATGAAGCTTATGCAGCTTTCGGTCTCCTGGTACACTGCTACTCTAAATCCTGTCCCAACAGATGCTCCTTCTGGTTCTAAGATCTCACACACACGATGTAGCTCATCCAGCTACCATCCGGCTGCATGGCACCGAAGTTGGCAGCGTGCATGCCAACCAAGAAACATATCTTGCCCTGTACCTAAAACAGCCTACATCATCCAAAACAGGGATATTTCCTAGCTGCATCCTAAAGCAGGATATGTGATGATGCTCAGAAAGACGTGTTTTGTGTTAAAAGGAAGCTGCGGTTTTGATATCTGCAAGAGAGACCTAATTACAGAGAGCTTGGCCGTTGTAACTTTTCACCACTGCTAGCTGTAAAACCAGACAACAGCTATCCAGCACATTTAGTGTGTAACACAAAAAAGACAAAAATGCAAAAGTAAAACAAGGCCTGCTCCATGAGACATATGAGGAAACTTAACCAGTCATCTGGGAAATAAAAAGAAAGTAAGGGAAACATTCAAAGAGGTCTTAACATTTTATCACTATTTATGGTGACTCTGGTTTTCATGCTATATAGACCTTGACTGAAAAAAGGTAAAAATGCTTTGCAGCATTAATTATTGTTGTGTCTCTGGAAACATGTATATGCACTAATGCATCACTATATAGACATAAGTGTATTCATTGTATTCAAAGAGTCACGGATATATCTTGATAAGTAAGTTTTACATATACTGTAGCTAAGTGTTCTTGTTTAGAGGAAAATTTAAACCCACCTTCCTGAAGCTGCTGTACTTCCAGAAATAATGTCTGGGTTCTAACAGTAGCTTGTGAATTTCAGTGAGAACACCTACTTTCTCAGTACCTGAAGATTTAAATAACATTTTATAATGTACATTTCAAATACTACTCAGCATTGTTAGGTGTTTGTAACAGTTGTTGGGTAGTCCAATATAAAAATCTCGCTCCAGTCACAAATTATGAAGGGCCTCTAGAATGTGGTATCTGCACATATTGAAACACACAATAATGCAAAGTGTGCCAAATTACTTTGTAGTCTCTAGCAAATACTATTAGACCCCTTAGAAAATGTAAGCTCAACTGATATACTGCATTAAGCTAGGCAAAGCTGACACATACTCTTTTAAATGACAGAATCGGTCATGTTCACAAAATGTGATCTCTACAGCTAGCTGCATTTTCCTTATTGTCCTATGTCACAAAATTTAACTACTTGAGAGTAAATATATTTAATGAGTCATTTTAATGGCATATGTTATTTAGGAAGGCCCATCATTAAATTAATATTTACTTTTACAAGCATTGCTTGCTCAATTACCAACGCTGCTCCAAAAATGTGAAGTCATATGCACATGTTGGGTGTAACTATATGATGGCAAACAATTTACCTTTTTTTCACTGAAAACACACAACCAAGAGTATCTTTCCCACTTTGTTCTGGCCAAAATATGACTTTATGATCCGCTGTTGAAGACAATTATGTACTTCCATGACCTTTACCTCAACATATGTGATGGTGGCGCAAAAGGAACACTTAGTGCCTTGATCGTGCAACCACTAATTTATGTTTTCTCATTTTAATCATGCCCTTTGTTCCATTCAAATCAGTCTTCATTCTCCACATGTACTTATGACGTACTATTACTGCAGGTACACCTCAGATAAACCTCACCCCAAACACCAAATGTAGGACACACATCCAGCTGGCGCTCTCCTGTTTAGTGGGACAAGTATCCACAGAGCAGCTCCAGGCACAGGTGTGCATGCTTCATTTATCAGGGGCAGTGTAAGACGGCCAAAAGAGTCATTAACAAGGCACATTTGCGGGTTTTCTGCAGGATGGACGTTTTAAAGGCACGCTCCTCGCTTTTGCTTTTCCGACTGAGAAGCAAAGTAGGGAAACAAACCGCGCTGTACTTTCGCTGTCATTGTTATTGCTGGATAAACCTAAGCAGAAAAGTAGGGCTCTCACGGAAGCCAGCACTGAACCCGTGCCATTCACAACGTCTCACCCAGCTCCAGTTAACCCTAAAATGCCATTCCCAGCCTGAACTAACACAGGAAATAACCGTAAAATGTTTCCTCTCCCCGCCCCGCCCTCTTTACCACCTAATGCAAGCGGCGAGGGGAACCCTGCAGGTGCAGAGCAGTGACCTCCGTTCCGCGGTGCAGCTCCGCGCACCACAGCTGTAACCAATGCCCGGCCCCGCGCTGGGAGCACCGCTCACCAAGCCCCGCGCCGGGATTCCCCCCCGCCGGTAACGCCGGGCGGACCCACCCCACAACTTCCGGTCCTCACCATCCCGCCCCCCCCCGCTCCCAGCTAGCCCCGCCCCTTTTCACCTCATCAGCCACTCCGTGCAGCCCAGCCGCCCACGTGACGGCGCTGCCAGCAGAGTGACGGAGCCCTCAGCCAATGGCGGCGCGCTGTTCCCCGCGCGGGTGGGCCTTGCCGGGCCCCGCCGTGCGGCCGCGGTGAAGTTCCCTCGGGGCGGGCCGGGGCCCTCGGTGGGTGCGCGGCGGGGTCGGGACGGAGGCGCCGCTATGGAGGAGCCAAGCGAGCGTAGCCCTTTGCTGAGCAGCGCGGAGCGCGGCCGGGCGGCGAGCAGCGCCTTTCATGGGCGGCGCTTGGCCTGCGCTGCCGTGCTGCTGGCCGAGCTGCTGGAGCGAGTGGCCTTCTACGGCATCACCTCCAACCTGGTGCTGTTCCTCAACGGGCCTCCCTACGGCTGGGAGGGTGCCCAGGCCAGCCAGGCCCTGCTGCTTTTCATGGGCATCACCTACCTGGTGTCACCTTTCGGTGGCTGGTTGGCTGACGCCCTCCTAGGCAAGTTTGGCACCATCCTGCTCAGCATGGCACTCTACCTGCTGGGCATGCTGGCCTTCCCTGTCATCGCTGCACCGCACACCCGCCAGGGCCTCTGTGGGGACATCCCCCTGTTCCCTGTAGAGAACTGCTCCTCTCCGGCCGCCAACGCCACCATGACGCCTTGCTCCCAGGTGGGAGCCACCCGCTACTGTGCCACAGCCACCTTCATCGGACTCGTACTCGTGGGGCTGGGCGTCGGGTCAGTCAAGGCCAACATCACCCCTTTCGGGGCAGACCAGGTCAAGTATTATTTGGCAGCTGCCAAATTGTGTGTGGGTGCAGATCTGAACCAGGAGACAGGTGTCAGTCATGTAGATGGGCTTACCTTGGTGGGGTGGATGGTGTGCCTATTGATGCACATCACAGTAGGTGTTAAGTCTCAGAAGGAATCAGATAATGCAGCTTTGTTCTCTGTGTAACGTAAGCTGTTAAGTTGTACCCTGTTTGATACATTTTTAGTGTCTGTGGTGTCTGATCTCTTATGACTCCTGGCTTCCTCGTAGCCCTGCCTTACTTGCGGTACCTGGTTTGGTTAAGCCATCGCTGTCTTGAAGAGTTGGGTTGAATGCTTAATGGCCATTAAGTGGATTGTCTGCATCCTGCACTGTGGATTTAATTTGATCTTGGATCTCATCAGGTGGAATATCTGATACATATTTTAGGTTTGACAAGGATAACACACGCCTTGTATGGCAGTGGTCAGATATCTTGATAAGCAATCATCCTCTGTAAGTGAAGGCTAGAGAACAGTTTTTTATGCTTTAGACATTCTCTGTCTACTGCACTGCCCTTGAGTGATATTTTTGTGCAGGATAATGCTGCACCACATGGTGGATGGGAAGGTGCTCTCAACATGGTAAACATTACCTGAGCTCTTCTCATAAGGACATGTCCTGTCAAACGACCTTATTCACATCATCATTTCAGTGATGTCATTCATTGGATCATCACTGCAGAACCAAGTGGCTTTACAGAAAACATTTGAGAGACAGCTTATAATTAAGTGTCTGTTGGAATGCACTGTTGCGCATATATATGTAAACTTATTCATTTTATAATCTGCTAAGGTAATGGGTATAATTTCAGCTTTGCAAATGGAGAATTTCAGATGGTTGGATATGAGCAGCTTTTCTAACCATTGTTCTTGGTGACAAGGCAAGGAAGATACCTTTATACAGTTGTGGGTGTGTTTAGTGGCTCATTAAGTTCTGGTTGGAGCAGGTATCAGAAATGCCATGAAAGTCTTTGTGAGAGGTAGAATCTACCACAGGATCTTGCCAAACATACCTCTGTTATCTAATTTGTAGTTTACATCTGTAATTCTTTGTATTTGCTACATTATAAATTCTGGAGTTCTGGGTGAAAGGCAGTATATAAATGTAAAACATTATTATAGCCTAGGATTGCGTGTCCCCAGTGTACTGGTTCTGTTCAAGCCAGCATGAGCCCATCAAGTGAAATAGCTTTAATATGACTTTATCTTGTAAGGTGTTTTTCAAAGCTGCCTGCTTATCCCCAGAACACTTTATGAACATTAAATATAAGAGATAAATAATGGCAGGAACAGAGCAAAAGAAGAACCATTGCCAATGGAAGCATAGCTGTTGTAGCTGGATTTTCTAAAGGCTTTCCCCCCAGGATTTCACAGAAAGCAGGTTTTGGATAGGGTTGCAGATAATTCACAGTGATTTATGTAGGGTGAAGCAAAAGAAATACTCCTTTCTGGTTCATAATAATCAGTAGAGCTCTGCCAAGTACTGAATTTTTGCCCTTCTCTGGT